GTGTGGGTCCATAATCTTGGCTGCTTAGGGAGCTGCCTGGGGAGGTTTGTGTGTTTAGGATCAGACTGCAATTTAGCAACAACTCGGGGGGAAAAAAAGTCCTTAGAAAACAGCAGTCCCCGGTCCTGGCCACCCCAGCCTTGGCATGGAGTATTTCAGGGACAGTACAGGCAGGGGGTGGAATAATTCTGTGCTGCGGGAGCTGCCCTGTGTCTGTAGGATCCAGAGCAGCACCCCCGGATTCTGTCAGTTAGATGCCACACCCCCACCCCATGACAACCAAAGACGTCTCCAGACACACTGCCCAAGTCCCTGGAGTGGGGAGTGGCAGAATCTCCCCACTGAGAGCAGCTGACTTCATCTGCTGGACATGGTGTCTCCCAGGAGAGGCCTGAGGCGCACTGGTGGGCCACCGAGGCGCTGCAGGTGGTTGTCCTGGGGCAGAGGTGGGGGCTTCCCTGGCAAGAAGACAAAGGCCCCCTGGAAGTGGCAGACAGGGTTGAAAACTCAAGGTGGAGCACCCTGGGCATAGGGCTATGGCCCCAAGCTCTGCTCAAATCTGAGAGACATTCCTTATGACTGCCAGCGGCCCCTTCCCACTCTCCTTAGAGAGGAGGAAAGGTGGTCACCACTGCTGTTCCCACCCTGAAACTGTCACCCGCATTTGCAGCTGCTGTCACTGCCTTCTGAGATGCTGGGAGGACGTGTGTCTCAGTCATGTGGTGTGTCTCCTTGCAAGGCGCTATCACAGTAAAAGTAAACGAAAACAGCTGGCCCAGCACAGCCGTCCGACGTGGGAGCTGGACCGAAGCTCTTCCTAGCTTGGAGTGGGGTGATCGCACCTCTCTCCATGCTTGTGGTGAATGAATCAGTGGTGGGCAGTTACTGAGCACCTGTCGCTGGCCTCCTTTGGCTAGGTCTAGCTGGATTAGGCCAAGTCCCTGTGCTCCCGAGTTGACAGGCTGGTGGGGTTGGGGAGAAGGCAGGGGAGACAGGAGTTCAGGGTGGCCTTGGGTGCTGTGTGAGTCCGGCTGAGTTCAGTTGGAGCTCCTACCCTCTTCTCACTGGAGGAGCCCCTTTTCTGAGTACCCAGCTCCTCCCTGGAGATTTGGAGAGCTGCTCCAGGTTCTTTGCCTTTGGAACCCCTTCCTTCCTCTCCAAGGTTTCCCATAGGTGGACTTCCCCTTCCCGGTTCCCAGGGTCCTGGACAGAGCCAGCATAGTCCAGGGCATGGGTTCTTGCTGGGTTAGATCCGGGCCTGACTGGTCCAGGAGGCCCAAAGCCAGAGCTCAGCGCGCTCAGGGCTCAGCAGAACCAGAAGAGTGGATGTGAGGCTGAGGGCGGTTGGGTGCCTAGTGCTAAGATGTGTTGGAGTGGCTCAATGGGCGGGGCTTCTGGGCTGGAGTGGGTCCCTGTGCTGTGAAGCCAGCAGTCAACAGAAGGGGAACCCCGTGTTGCAAGGAGGCCCTGAGGTCCCCAGGTAGGAAGGGGGCATAGCTCTGACAGGCAGCAAGTGGCTGAAGGCAGGAAGACATACCCACATGAGAGGTTATCTCCAACCAGGAGGACCCACACCCGCCTCCCATGGGCGAGGGCCTTGGGCACCTGGCATAGCTGGCCTCCACAAAAGTGGCTGCCAGGGCAGTGGTGCACGCTTCTTTCCTGGCTGCTGGACAAGCCCGGCTTTCTCAAATACCAGAGCCTTGGTGTTGTGGTGCCCGCCTATAATCCCAGCGCTCTGGGAGGCTGAGGCAGGAGGATTCCAAGTTGAGCCTAACCTCAGTTGCAATTTAGCAACTTGGGGAGACCCTTAAAAAAAATAAAGAGGCCTGAGCCTTGCAAGATGACATGATGACACCAGAGAGGTGCATTTTAGGCCAGGGGTGCTTCGTCTGGCTAAGCAGTTAGGTGGGAGAAGTGGTGAGTCCTGGGGAGGAGGGTTGGACATACAGGTGGAGGCTGAGGCAGCAGACCGGGGTCTGCCTGCTCCACTTTCCTCTCTGCTCCCAGCTACCCTGGCTCTGCTGGCCTGAGCCCTGGAGGGCCCCCCCCCCCCCGCAGGTGCTGCTGCTGCTTCCACAGGAACTGGTCTCCGCCCAGGTGCTGCACAGCTGGAAAGTAGAAGTGGCTGCTGGCCACCCCCTGCTCGTACTTGGGATGGGGGAACCTGGCAAGAAGCGTTCGAGGAGGGGCTGGTTTTGCTCCATGGCTCTGATCCATTTTGTGCTAGCGGACTGCGGTGGTGAGCTTGGAGTTGAAGTCCTAGCCTCGCAAGGCAGAAGCCACCTTGGAAATCCCACTGTGCCAGGGAGGAGCTGGGAGTCCACTTCCTGTCAGGCTGTGCACACTGCCCGAGAGCATTTCAGGGGTCTCCAGGGAACTTGGCAGTTCTCTCCACTCGCCTTGACCCGCCAGCCCATGCCTGGGACTGTGGTCGCCCAGTGCACACAGGTGTAGGGAGCTGCAGGTGCCATGCGTGCTGCAGCAGGACGCGGATGGGCCCAAGTGTTTGCTGTTTGTGTAAATCAGCAAACGCTCATTAAACAGAAAGGCAGATCCATCTGCATTGGTATGGAGGGAAGCCCACTGCGCTTGTTAGGGAAAATGTTTATGAGACGCGTGATACCCTTTTATAAACACGCAGTCTGGATCTGGATACGTGTGTGAATGTGTGGGGGTACAACATGTAACTTACATATGACTGGAGAAGGCCTAGAAAGGGAAGCTAGGGACAGTGGTGCATGCCTGCAGTGCCAGCTGCTCAGGGAGGCTGAGGGAGGATGATGGCAATTTTGAGGCCAGCTTGGGAAACTTAGCAAGGCTGTCAATAAACAAACGAAGGCTGGGGATATACCTAGTGGAAAAGCACCCCCACTTCTGGGGGAAAAACTAAATGAGTACTTGCCTAATAATACTAGTTTATCGGTGTTGGAGTGATCCTGAGGGTCGGGGTTAAACTAAAGAGCTTTACCACTAGACACTTTTTATGCAGTTTGAATTTTCACGTTTGGCTGTTATTACAAGTTAAATTTATTTAAGGTTAAAGTTAGTACATAAGAACCAAAAGTGAAGGACTGGGGATATAGCTCAGGGGCATAAGCGCCTGCCTGGCAAGCGCAAGGTCACAAGTTCGATCCCTGGTACAAAAAAAAGTGTACATAATGGGTTACGGTGTGACCTTTCTGTTATGCATACATGGTGCAGAGTATAAATCAGGCCAGATACATGTATCTCCTTAAAGGTTTTCCCTCCTTTCATGGCAAAAACATTCAGAATCCTTTTTTCTAGCTTTCAGATGTACAAAGTGCAATTTTAAAAAAATACAGTGCATGTTTAAATTTTTTTTTTTTTTTTTACAAAATTTATTATAGTAGAAGACACACTTCAGTGCATTTACCCATCATTCTTGGCATTTTCCAGAGCAGTCCTGGAAGTCCTCTTTCATGTCTTTAGTTGTGCTGTCATGGCTGCCTTGATGTCCTGAATTGGTTCAAAAACTTTTCCTTTCCTGTGTGTGTGGTTTTTTTTTGGCTTTGGGGAAGAGCTGGATGTCAGACAGTGCCACATTCACTGCTCAATAAGGTGGATGAGGATGCACTGTAATTTTTTATAAGCGTTTCTGTTGGATGGCACAGAAAGCCATATTTACACACTATATTTTGATTATACCTCTTAAAGATTTTTTAAAAATTTTTGATACAGGGTCCTACTGAGTAGTTCAGGCCAGCCTTGAATTCGCTGTGTAACCTAGGCTAGCCTCGAACTTCAATTTGAACTTGATTATAGGCATGCACCACCCTGCCTGGCTAAGAGACACTCTTGAAAAAGGACTTCAAGAACTGCTTCCCAAAGTAGCAATAAGTCAGGCATAGTAGCCCATGCCTTAATCCCAGCACTTGGGAGGCTGGAGCAGGAAGATTGCCGTGAGTTTAAGGCCAGCCTGGTTTAAGACAAACTGTCAAAAATGATGGGGTAAGTGTGTTTGAGCAAGCAGAAGTGTTTTAAGCGGGATTAATGGCAATGTATCTTTTACTATAATAAATTCTAAACATTTCAACACCGTATATTTTGCCCACCCCTTGTGGATGGTACATGGCTGTGACCTACAGTCAGTCACCCTCTCTGCAGCACTTGCTGAGTGGAGCTCCTTACCCCTGACTGTAACTTAGTACCCTTTGATCAACCCTCCTCCATCCTTCCCTCCCCTGACTTTTATAATTGAAAAATTAGTATTCAAGAGATACTAAGTGTTGATTGGTCAAGCCTGGTCACCCTACCTCTTCCTTCCCCGAGTTGAACACCTCCCTTCTCCCTGAAGTGTCCTGGCCACTTCCCTCCAGATGGCCAAGGACAGGTGTGCATAGTCGGAGCACACAGGAGGGCGTAGGCCATCTGGCACTTGTTCGTCCTTGAGCAAATCACAGAATTCTCCAAGCACCTCAGGCTTCTCATCTGCTTCCCTGGGAGGCAGAGAAACCCCAAGGGCAAAGGACTAGAAGGAACTCTGGCCACAGTGCAGTGACGCACAGCAAGGATGATGCTGTGACTTGGCTGAACTATAGTGAGTAACAATGTCACGATGACGCCCATGGGAGCCGCGCGTAGTGAGGTTGTTGCAGATCTTAGGGTGGCCCCTGGCTCTCCCTGGCCTGAGCACCTGCAGGGGTCTGAGTGGAGAGGCTGTGCTAGGCTTGGATCCAGAGAGTACTTTTCCAGGAGGCCCCCTCAGATTCCTACCCCGAGGGGTATTTTGAAGAGGGGCTACAGGGAATGCTTGGAAGCCCTAGGACCTCAGCAAGTGGGGTGTGATGGGCCCACCCTGGAGCTGGGCCACTTACCTTGGGTTTCCGCTAGTCCATGGACCCTCTGACGTCAAACACAAACTTGTAAATGGATCCACTGGCACAGAGGCTTCTGGAGAGTTTCAGAGGGGCTGTGGTCCAGAGCTAGCAGAGACATAACTAAGTCTCATCCTCCTGCCCCTCTTTCTTCTCTTGTAGGTGGAAAGCAGTGACACACCCAAGGAGCCTGCGGTGACCTCCAAGTCCCCATCTATGGCCCAGGACTCAGGCTCCTCAGAGCTGTTACCCAATGGGGACTTGGAGAAGCGGAGTGAGCCCCAACCAGAGGAGGGGAGCCCCGCTGGGGGGCAGAAAGGTGGGGCCCCAGCTGAAGGAGAGGGTACAGCTGAGACCCCACCGGAGGCCTCCAGAGCAGTGGAAAACGGCTGCTGTGCACCCAAGGAAGGCCGAGGCGCCTCTGCAGAAGAGGGTGAGTCCCCGGGCCAGGGCAGCCCATTCCTGCCAGGGGGAGCCCCCGAGGCCATGAGACGTGGGTCTCTGGCGAGTCCTAGGAGGAGGCTGGGGTGCAAGTGAAGGTCTGCCTGCCAAGGCGATGGTCTGGCAGCTGTGGCTGAATGCAGGCTGTACACATGGCTTATTTGGCATATAATTCATGGTGCTTTAAACATTTCAAAAACTAGCTGCCAGAATTTGAAAATCAAGAAATTTCACATGAAAATTTGGAGTTTTGGCTTTTTGTGAAGAAAAACGCTAGATCTGGCACTAATGGTTTTGCATAATGCCAAGGGTTGCTAGACTAGGATAGTGCGTGTCCTCTCTCCCTCCTCAGCTGGTTGGTGCCTCCCTTCCCCTCTCCCCGACCTGGCCTGCTTTCTTCCCAGGTGATCTGTAGGTCCCACCTGCTGCCTGTGGAGTCCCTGCTCTCGGTGTGCTGGGACACAGACCTGCTGTTGGCCTCCCCAGCGCAAAGGTCTCGGGGCCACCATGACTTGGTTGATGGCACTGGAAATTTGGTTGCAAATGGGCGTCTTTGAGGGCAGGCGGAGAGCAGTCTGTTCACTGCCCAGCCCAGGCCTCTTCCTGTGGGGACTTTTTGGCCCAGCCCTGCAATCCTGGAAAGTTGCCCACTTTTCTCTTTCAGGTTAAGCCAGAGATTTCAGGGCCAACCAAGCTGTAAACAAGTTAGTAATGAGGACAACTAGCATTTGTACAGGGCATCACAGTTTACACAGCACTTCCTCATACATTATCACATTTGGTCCTCCCAGGGCCCTGCCAGGTTGTTTTGCATATGTGCATTTTAATCTCAAAGAGTCTTCCTTCCAAGTGTGTATGATAGAATGGGTAAATTGATTAATTGGCTTAACTTATGTCACATGGATCCAAAGCTAATATGCAGAATAGAGAACGTTTCCAGAAAAGAGATTTCCAAACTTATTTTAAAATATCTTTCATTCATTATTCAACAAATATTTATGTCGCTCCACTATGTGCGAGGCACTTTCTGTAGCATTTTGCATTTGTTGTCTTATTTACTCCTCCAGCAGTCTTACTCAAGAGCTTTTACTGTCAGTGGCACGGTGGCTCATGCCTGTAATTCCAGCACCCTGGGAGGCAGAGGCAGGATGGTCCCAGGTCTGAGCCCACTGTGGGCAACCTAGATTTAGTGAGACCTTATCGCAAAATAAAAAGGGGGCTTAGGTTGGAGCTCAGTGCAGAGGGCCGAGGTTAAACCCCAATAATCCCCCACAGGTATTATCATTATCGTGGTAAAGGTGGAAAAGTGTTTTTTAAAGAGATAAAGTGACTTGTTTGTGACTCCCAGACTTGCAAGTGGCAGAGCCGGGATTCATTAAATCTTGCGTTTTGCCTCCCACTCTCCTTGCTATTCTGGGACGGGGCTCATTAAGGTGGTTCCCAAACTGTCCAGGCCTCCTGGTGTCTTTCTCTTGCTTCGTGGGAGTGTGGGGAGCGCCTGGGAGGAGTAAAGGAAGGGAGTGACATTCTTCCTCTGGCTCACAATGCCAAACATGTGGGGCCCAGTAACCCCTCCTGGTGAGACTGGTGCTCCCCTGGGCCACACTGTTCCCCGAGGCTGAGCCAGTCCCTCCTATCTGACAGGCTACCCTTTAGCCTGAAGGGCTTAAGTTTGGGGTTTCCCTGTCTGTGTTTCCACACAGCCAACTGGTGTTCGCAAAACACCTGTTCGGTATGTGCCAGGAGCCATGCCAGTGTGGGCAAACCATTATGAATGGAAACCCAGTTCTTGGTCTTCAGAACCTCACAGCCAACTAGAGAGACTCCAGGCTTTTAATGTGATCACAAGTGGAGATGAGTGACCTAAGGGTAAGGAAGTGTGGTGCCAGGAGGAGTGTGACCAAGGAAGCTGAGCTGATGCGGGCTGTTCCATCTGAGCCAAAGATGAGCTGGCGGAGACAGAGCGGGGACACACATGTGCTTAGATGTGCTTCAGGGCGGGAGGCAGCAGGGCATCTGGAGGCTGACAGGTGAGAGGAAGAGAGCCAAGGAGAAGCGTGTGCGGGATCGGGGTGGCAGATGGCCAGACCAGGCCTTCAAGGCCAGCTCTCAGGCGTGACATGATGGCGTGAAGGGTGAGTTCAGGGTTGGAGACATTTAGATACGAAGATGGCCTTTCCTCAGGCTTAGTGCTGAGCGCATTGGGCTCAAATGCTTGAATGTGGCTTTGGGTACTCCCATGTGGCCCCGCTCTTCAGGAAGTGGAAATGCTGGCAGCACTCAGAACTGCCGGGATCCCTGGAGGCCACTGCGCTGGGTGTTTGGATGCTGAGACTGGTGAGGCATGACCTGCTGGGGCTGGGGCCTGCTGGAGGCCAAGCTGGGCCTGGCCACTGTTCTGGCAGTCAGCTGACCTGGAGGGTATGCTCAACTGGTGGGTTCGGAGGAGGAAGGAGTGTGTGGCCCCAGGAGGAAGTGACTTGGCCCTTTCTTCTTTCAGTTTCCCTCATTTGGGCTCTTTTCACGTGGATGGTCCCATTGCTTCCTCTATAGCAAAAATGTGGAACCTTAAGATATATTCTGGTGGCCTGGGCATCCTCCCATGTGCATCCTCACTCAAAGGACAGCCAGGCAAAGGATCAGAGAGAGGAGAGCCAGTATGATGAGCAGAAAGATCAAATGCCAGCACCCAGCCCAGCATGGGGGCACACACCTGTCATCCCAGCTACTTGGGAGGCTAACGCAGGAGGATCGCAAATTCCAGGCCAGCCTGAGCAACTTTGCCAGACCCTGTCTTAAAATTCAAAGGGCTGGTGTTGAATTTCAAACAACCCCACACAGAGCAGTGCCTGACAGGCAGGTGTTGACTTGGTACCATACCTGCAGTCCTGGTATTAGCACTACAGCAGTCATAGTAATTTGTGGAACACACAGCCTTTCACTGAGCACCGACCCTGTGTGGGCCTGCTCTGTCCTCTGTCCTCACAGGCTCATGGCCAGCAGCGGCTGCCTCACCCAGGCAAGTCCACAAACCCCCTCCCAGGCCTCTGCACCTTAAAAAGACCCTTGCACCTTAAAAAGGCTGCAATACGCATTGCAGTCTGAGGAGCCCTATGTAAGAAAGACTCATCCTTATTTTCCAGATGGGGACGTTGGTTAAGAAAGGTTATATCACTTACCTCAGACTATGTAAGGACTACGCTAGGGTCAGCACAGGTCACCTCTTTGCTCGGTACTGAACTAGGGACTGGCCTCAGCTCTGTTGTGAGTATTTCAAATTTGCAGTGGCTCCTGAACTCAGACCAACAGGTAAGTGTTAGACGACCCTAGCCTCCCCTGCCCCAGCTCCAGGACCCGAGATGCCCTGGGGTCATGTTCCAGCCTGCCAGGGCCACCCTGGAAGGCACACAGCCACCTGGCCCTGCCTGGAACCCTGGGCCTGGGCCAGGAGCAGATGGGCTGCAGAGGGAGTACTGAGCGAGCAGCTGACTGCGGCCGCACGACAAGTGCTGCATTCTGAGGCAGCCAGATTTGTTGTTTGCTGGGCCAGGCTGGAACGTGTGCGAGATCACTCCAGTGGGCATGCGCAGAGTCTGTCACGGAGAAAATTCCAGAAAGAAGCCAGTTGGAAGCTGCATTAGGAAAAGTCATTCTTTGGGGGAAGCCTGGAGACTGAGGAAGCAGGATGGGAGCCCATCTAGGAATAGTGTTGGTGTATTGGAAAAGGAGCTGGCTGGAGAATCGGGAACTCTGAAATCTGATCTCCTGCTCTCAGATCTGGCAGTTAGGTCACTCCACTCCCCCAGCATTTGTCTCCTTTGGAAATTTGAGGGGCTGGGAGGCTAGGCGTTCCTACAGTCCTTTCAGCCCTGATTTTGTCCCAGTCTCGCGTATAAGGGATTCTCGCCCTATAAATGTGTACATGCCATGCGGGTGGGAGTCGCAGGCAGGAAACTTTTAGGTCCCAAGAAGGCTGGTGGGGCGAGAACGCGCAGCCCTGAGTGCTGAGTCCCTGGATCGCCCCTCCCCCCCCCGCACTGCGCCTCCAGCAGGGCTGCGAACCCCCAATCCCCCAGCCGAACCCCAATGCCCCAGCTGCCCAGGGCCGGGCCGGGCCGAGGACAGGCGCCCCCTCCCGGCGGCCCGCGCCTCCCTGGCCGAGCGGAGGTCCGAAGGGGCGGGGCCTTGGCTGAAGAGCGGGGCGGCCCCCCCCCCCCCCCCCCGGCGGGGCGCCCCGCTGGGAGTTGGGGAACCGATTGTGGTAGGAGAGAAGACGTAGAGGAAACAGGTAGGAAGAGGCACAGCGGCGACGGGCGAGGCGCGCCCTCGGAAGGCTGGTCACGCACCCAGCGCCCGCGGCACGCGCTGTCGCCCACTCGCGCGCCGCGAGTGACACTGCTCCCTGCCGGCCGGCGGGCGAGGAACGCGCAGGGCCGCCACCCGCGGGCCCGGGGCCGGGCGCCGCCCTTCCCCCATCTTCCCACCGCTGCCGCAGCCCCGCAGGCCCGGACCGTGGCGGGCGCCCCTGGCAGGTGCAGAGAGGAGCCCGGTCCCCGGCCGGGGGAAAACACCCTCGGCCGGCCGAGCATTCCGGAGCCCTGAAGCTGCGGCGGTTTCCGCCCAGGCCCGGGAGATGCAGCGGGGCTGTTTTTTCCGTTCTGGGCGCTCTGTCCCCCCCCCCCCCGCAAGCTCGCAAGAGCAGCCCCAGTGACCTCCCGCCCTGGCCCCAGCTCTTCAGAGGACGAGGAGTTCCAGGGCCCAGGCGAAAGGAGGGCGCCCGCGCCCCGGCCAGGCCCGGCCTCCGGAGGACCGCGAGCCAGAGCTGGAGAGGCCTCTGTTGGCGAGGCCTGCCTGCCTCCGGCCCGCTCCTCCGGCCTGGAGAGGCCTGGAGAAGCGCCACCAGGCCGAGGAGGAGGGGCTGAGAATGCTGCAGCCCCAGGCCAGATGTCCCTTCTAGGAATCAGGGCCCAGCCTAGGAGGAAGCCTGGGCTAGGGAGATAGGGAAATGCTGTGGGCCGCGGAGCCAATTAGGGAGAGAGGAGGACACTGACCTGTATGGAGTGCCCACTGCGTGCCAAACCCTGCTCTAGGCTCCTCGGGATCACACTGACAATTTTTAGAACATTTGTCCACTGTGTTTCAGGGAGGACCTGGTTAGGGAGGTCACCCTGAGACTGCTGGACTCTAAACCCAGGGCCTCTAGATTTCCAGCTGAGCTGGGAACCTGCGAAGAGGTGGGAAAGGAGGACAGAGGCAGACAAAGTTAAGGGTATCTAGCACTGCAGAGGGACCCAGAAACCCTCTCCAGCTCTCTGCCCAAGTGACGCTGAGATACCGATAGATGAAGTTGCTCGACCAGGGCTTGTCCCGAGGGCCTGGATGCCCACTGCCCCCAGCACACATGCATGTGTGCTGTTGGGCATCATCTCTGACCTCCTGCACGGACATAAGTGCCCCTCCCTGGGCTGTGGAAGGCATTGAAGTCGGCCCCCCAAGTCCACCCACGCTGTGCTGCTCTGGTGTCCTGCCTGGGGCTCTGGAGAGGCGCCTGGTTTACTGAACAGCAGAGGGGGTTATTTTTTGGCCTCTTCTGTGTGCCAGCCAGCCAGTGGGCCACGTATGCCCTGACTTTGCTCCTGTTTTTGTGTTCTTGGGCCTTGAATCTAGCCCAGGTCTCTCTGCTCAGGTGTTGATGGGGAGTCTGTGGGGCCAGCACAGTGCCCAGCATGGGCAGGCCATTGTGACTGAACCACACCCTGCCAGATGATGGGAGGACCCTGTCCCCTTGGCAGGGACTTGGTTTCCAGGTACAGCCTCTGAGCCAGCCTGGTAACTCTGCCAACGGTCGCCATGTTCTTTCCTCTCCACAGGCAAAGAACAGAAGGAGACCAACATCGAATCTGTGAAAACGGAGGCAAGTGTTTTCCTCACCCCCAGGGGCTCTGTGGATCCTGATTCTAGAAGAAAGCCACTGCTCTGACCGACTGGCGAGTGTGTGAGGGGGCCCGGAGGGTGGGCCCCCACCCCTTCTTTGACACCCCTGTGTGGGGCCCCCACCCCTTCTTTGACACCCCTGTGTGAGGAGGACAGGAAGTGGGGGTGGAGGTTGGAAGTCCCCCAGCCAGGCAGCCAGCGCTTTCCCTTCTGGAGAGGAACACTCTGCATGGCCTTGTCCGTGTGCCCCCCCCCCCACACACATGTCCCTCACTTCCCTGGCCTGGACAGAGCTTCCCCAGCACCCCCGGGTCACCCCTCTGGCCAAGAGCCGGAATGTCCGTATTCTTTAGAGGTGAGTCCCCAGTTTCCCCTCCAGGAGGGGTACCCCCTGTAGGGGGATCAGTGCCCACCTTAATGCCTGTCTGTCTCTCTGCCATCTCTCTGTCCTAGGGCTCCCGGGGCCGGCTGCGGGGTGGCTTGGGCTGGGAGTCCAGCCTCCGCCAGCGGCCCATGCCGCGCCTCACCTTCCAAGCTGGGGACCCCTACTACATCAGCAAGCGCAAGCGGGACGAGTGGCTGGCACGCTGGAAAAGGGAGGTGAGGTGCCATCTGGTCTGGGCCCCCTCTGTCCCTCATAACCAGCAAACTCAAAGGCAGTTCCATCTCTCTGTTGTCAGGCTCTGGCAGAGCCTCAGTTTCCCCCTCAGGAACTGTGTGGTCTCAACGTGCTGATGGGTTCACTTGTTCTTTCAACAAGTGTGTGCTGAGCACTTAGTGCATACCAGTCGGAGTAAGAGGCTCTGCAGAGCCGGCTCCTGCTTGCATGGAGTTGACATGCTTTTGGGGGTGACAGGCCGAAAACAAATAGGCTAGAAACCAAATATAACAGAGGCCTACTGTAGGCCTGGTAGCCAACAGAGGTGTCTTGGGACAAGGTACCTTTTAGTTAAGATCTAAAAGAACCATGGTGCTGGCTGGGAGGAGTGGGGCAGGGAGAAGGTTCTAGGTGCTGACGTGTGTCAGAAACTGTATGTCCAGAGTGTGGTGAGCAGGAGGGAGACAAGGCCAGGCAAGGCCCAGCAGCAAGCTGGGTCCTTGAGGGCCTGCCAGAGGCTGGTGGGCTGTTCTGAGTGTACCAGGGAGCCGCAGAAGGACTCAGTGGCAGTGGAGATGGAATCAGTAGGCTGGCTGAGGGTTAGGAGGGGTGGGGAAGACAGAGGGACCCTAGGGGTGTTGGCCTGGCACTTGGTAATGGCTACATCCATCCCATAGGAGCACCCAGGGAGGAAGCACTGGGTGGGGGGAGGAGCAAGGGTTTGTTGTGGGTGCCTGGAGGCTGGGCTTAGGGAAGTGCAGGCTGCTGGGGTGTGTGTGTGAGGGGGCAGATCTGGCATCTCAGTCCAAGAGAACCAAAAAGCTCACCTAGCAGAGACAGGAGAAAGTCCCAGACCGTAAGTGCAAGTGTTAATGCATCGCAGAGAGAGGAGGAGCTGTAGGTGGCTGGGCCTGTGAGGGGCAGCGGCCCGGCTCCGGAAGTGGTGTCTGGTAAAGCAGAAGGCTTCCTGAGGAAGGTGCTGCCCAGGCTGGGGAAGCTGCACTTAGGAGGTGGAGGTGCGCCTCCACGTGGGCAGGAGCTTTGGTGGGGTGGGGGGGGGCGGGGGGCGGGAGGGCTTCGTGAGGGAAAGGAGGTGACCAGTGCAGACAGACTAGGAAGCGAAGTCAGTCCTCAGGGCACATTGTCAGCCGCCCTCTAGAGTGTTTGATGGAAGAGAAAGTACAAAGAGAAGAGGGTGTGGACCCGCCGCCAGCCACAGGGCACTCTCCATCCTTGTGACCCCAAGGCCATTGTGTAGTGGGAAAGCTCCAAGCCCCAGGGAAGGGAGTGCTTTTGGCTACTTGATGGTTTCTCGTTCCTTTAGGATCCAGGAATGCAGAAATTTCTCTTTTGGAAGAGCCTGGAAAAGGGGCCCTGGTCAAGGTCTGCAGAGACCCTGGCCGTGGGCACTGAAGCTCCTCCTGAAATGGGAGCGGGGAGGGGGCTGTGCTCTTGGCTCCAGAGCTCAGATGGGCTCTGCTTCTTCACCCCGTTCTGTGTGGGGTTTCTGCTCTTGCTGAGGCCTGAGGCAGGAAGCACAGAGATTATGACTTTTAGGGCTTAAAGAACTTCTAGAGTGTTCTTTGATTCTCCAACTGTGCTCCTTCTAAGTCACAGCATGGAAGCCTGCCCTTGATCCCAGTGAAAAGGGGGTCTTTTTCTTATTTAACTCAGGATATGAAAAATGATAGGTTTCCTAGAAAAACATTTTTTGTTTGTTTGGTTTTTTTTGGTACCAGGGATTGAACTCACGACCTCACCCTTGCTGGGCAGGCACTGGGACACTGAGCTACATGCCCAGCTCTTCTAGTAAAATTCTAAAACTTTAAAAATGGTGCTAATGATTAAAACACAGGGGCAGGGGTGTTGGCCCCCGAGCGGCATCTCTGGCTCCCCCTCGCTGTTTCTCCTTCCCTCCTGCCCTTGCTTGCTTGCTGCCCTTGAATTCACAGCAGTCCTCTTGCCTCAGTCTCCCAAGTGCTGGGGTTATAGGAATGTGCTACCCACGCCTGATTGTATTTTTTTATTTCAAGACAGCATTTTGTTAAACTGGAGCCACCTCCGGCTTCAGCTTCAGCCTGTTGGATGGTAGCTAAGATTACAGGCGTGCACCACCAGCAACAAAAAAACTTGCTATAGAACATACAATGGCTCCCGGTCACTGCCCCATCGTGGTAGAGCTCTTCTGGCCATTTCTTAAGACTTCAGCCCTCTCACCACTACAATTTACCCAGTTGTTTTAGGACCCAGTAATAATAGCCCACAGAGACCCCGACCAGATTCCAAATTGCTTTAAGGCAAGTGTACTCTGTCCTATTGTAGTAGGATCTGGTCTCTTCCCTTGCTCTCAACCTGTTGGTCAGGACCCTGGGACTCCTGCATCCTTGTCCTTACTAGATGCTCAGTAAACACTGAGTCGTGATGATGGTGAGTGAGTGACCTGGCAGTGATCTCAGTGCTCCCTCTGCAAGCACAGCCCACCCCCATCCCGGGATGTCCAGCAAGGCGCAGAGCCTTCAGGTCTTGGGAGGGCAGAGGGCTGCTGCCTGTGGCCTTTCAAGGCAAGTTCAGATTGTGCCATCTACAAACAAGTCCCCCTTCCAGGCCATGGGACCCGAGGCATCCTGTGACCTCACCAGGGAGCGGAGGCACCCCAGAGGGCCGTGGGTGTCCCGGCTGCGCTCCGCTCTTCGGCACGTCTCAGCTCAGTGACAGCAGCGTCCACCACCTTGTTTTTTGCCTTTCCCCAACCTGAGCGAGTTAAGTTCCAGGGCTGAGATAGTAAAAGGCCTTCTGGGCACTTTGGTCCCCAGGCCTGGCAGGCAGGGGGACAGGGGAAGGAGGTGTCACCTGGATCAACAATCCCGATCTCAGGTGTGGATTCAAAAGGTAACACATGCCTTTAGAGGCCTGAGCACAGGCCAGCCTACGCTGAAGCCATTATACACAAGTGTCACACAAGTGCATTCCAGTTACAAAAAGTCCTTCTCCCCGTTTCAGTTCCTCCACCAGAGGTGCTGGAGGCTGTTAGGTGGACGGGTAGGTAGATGGTGGGTAGGCAGGGCAACCTCACAGTTTTTCCGGTTCATCTGCCTAGGTGTGTAAATAATTTTTCTTCACAGCCCTCCCCCCCATTTTACCAAAATGGACCACACTGTAGTTTCGTTTCACAGCTTGGCTTTTCATTTACACCGAGTCTGGCCAGTCGAGCTCCATCCCCAGTGCCCCCCCCACCCACCACTTTATTTATCGGTAGTCTTTATGCCGCCGCTGCTGTTTTGCACCCAGGCGCTGCAGCCGTGAACATCTTTGGTCATCCTTTCTGCAGTCTTCATTGCTGAAAGACCAGATACCTGGAAAGAAAAATTCGGGGCCCAAGGGAATGTGCATTTTGCAGTTTATAAAGTCTAGCCAATTGCTCTAAAAACAGCAATGCCAGTGCACGCTTGGTGAATGGGAGATGGCTTCCACCTCTGCCAACGTCAATATTTTGCCAATCGAATGGGTGGGAGCATGGTGTCTTGCCATGGTTGGAATCGGCGTTTCCCAGATAGTGAGCAAGTGTGCATCTTTTCAGATGCTTACTGGCCATTTGCGCTGCTGCTAGAGCTTCTGTGAGCTTAGCCAAGCTTACCTACCCTCTTTTTACAACCTGCAGTCTCCTCACTCTTTGCTTCCTGTGAGCCTAGGAGGAAAAGCCTGGGAAATGGCCAGAGGGCTGCTTCCTGCCGTGCCATATTCCATTTAATAAATCACTCCACACCTCCTAAGTCGGCACCTTATTCCAGGGCTGAGACAGTAAGCTGTGATCTCCTGGGCCTCTGTGAAGTAGACCAATAAAGACTGAAACCAAATCATGAGAGAGTGGTATGCCATGCAGACATGCCTCCCTGTTGGCCACACCGGAACTTGCCCAGGGGGCCTCGGAACCCACGTTCCCCTTGGAGGAGGTGATAGCATTTGGAGGAGGCACAGCAGACACACTTGGCCAAAAGGCCATGTAAGGGGTAAAGGTGCTCCGGTGGCCTCCTGTAATCAGGGTGACTTCCGGGCAGGCGCATCTTGGTAGTGAGCTGTGAAAACTGTCACAGAGCAACTCCCCGGTGTCCTCTAAGTGGGGAGCTGTTTGCACGCTGCAGAATTCCTTCCTTTCAGCGGTCTGAGGGAGTAATAGCTGTCCAGACAGGTCCCACTCTCTTAGCAGTGCGAAATGTGCTCAGGGTCCAGCTGCTGGCCATGACTAGGAAAGGGAAAAGGGCGGATTTGCTGAGTATTGGCAGGCACCAGGCACTGTGCCAAGCCAGCTTTCACCGCGGTCTGAAGGCACAGTCCCCTCGTGTCCTGTAACCTCTTTTTCTTTTCTTTAGTTTTTGGTGCTAGGGACTGAACCAGGCCTTGTGCCTCGTGGCTGCCTAGCACACGCTCTGTCAGTTGGTTACTCTCCCAGCTTTGTGAGACAGATCATCAACCCTCTTGCTACTGGGAAGCGAAGGGTTCCGAAGGGAAGTAGGAGAGCGCCACATGGATGACATTCACATGCAGGTTTAGAAGAGAGGCGTCTCACTGGGAAGCTGGCCGTACTGGTGCACACCTGTACTTCTCACCCTCTGGGAGGCCGAGGCAAAAGGATTGTAAGTTCCAGTCCAACCTAGGGAGCCTAGTGAGACCAGGCTTTAAATAAAAAGGGACATAGCTCCACGTGAGGGCCCTGGGTACTGCCAAAGGAGAAAAAGAAAGAAGCGTCCAAGCAGCTGCCCTTTACTGGCTCCTCGCCACCTTTGTCCTGGCTGGCCTGTGCCCTCTGTGAGACTTGGGTCCTTTTCATCCTCATGACCTTGACCTGTCCCTCCCAGCTGCATTCACTTGTCCCTTGTCCTGCCCCTGACTTGCTGTTTTTGCATGGTCATGTGTCTGACATTATGAAATTGGATTGAAAGAACCCTGGAGTGGGAGTCCCAAGGCCTAGTTTCCGGTCTCAGCTTCTGTCCCTGGTTAGCCCATCCATCAATTGGAGGAGCTCTTTCTCCTCTCTTCGCTTTAGTTTTTTTTTCTTTGCTTATAACGTGATGAAAATAGCTAGGTGGTGCCAAGTTGGGAAAGACTCAAACCTGGTTCCCTCGGTCATCTTTACTGCCTGTACGTGAATTCCAAGTTCAAGGCTGGAGTGCACTCCAGGCCTCTCCTCCAGGACCCTCCCGCAGGCACACACACGAAGCATCTTTGTCAGAACTAAGAGCCAGGCATGGTGGGTGTAACCCCCACGCCTTGGCTGAAGAGCATCATGAGCTCAAGGCCTGCCTGGGTTACCCTATTTCAAAACAAACAAAGCCCCAGAGGTCTTATAGACAGCTTTGAGGCCATTTGCTCTTTGGTACCATGGTATTGCTTCCCTTTCTCTTTTCACACCAGGATCAGAAAAGTCTAGGGACGTAGCTCAGTGGTACAGCACTTGCCTAGCATGCATCAGGCCCTGGCTTCAATCCTCAGCCTGGAAAAATAAAAAGAAGACGAAGAAAGTTAAAGCAGGATGTGTTAGGCACCGAGGCCCAGGTACAAAAGGCAGCCTTGGCTTCTCGTGAGAAAGGTGCTGTTGCAGAGCACATCTGCTGCCTGACACAGGAGTCTCCCGGGAAGCTCCTCGGTTTTTCCTCCGTCTCTGGCCACCATCTACCAAGATCTGCCTCTTACGGCCACTTTTCTTTCTATTTATCACATAGTTAATCATTTGTCATTCCAAAGAGGTGTGGAACTCTTATTAAGCAGGTATTACATGCTCAGTCTTTAAGCCCTGTGTGTCTGCCTGTCTGCCATGTGCCAAAACTGTCCAGACACTACCGACATGGACTTGAATGTGGGAGCCTACTGTCCTCTGAGAGGTGGGCAGGGAAATGAATAAATCACACTGTGACCTGGTACGACCACAGAGTGAGCAGGGGGTGGCGCATGCCCATCATCCCAGCTGCTCATGAAGCAGGACGACTGGAAGTTGAAGCCCACACCGGGCAATTTAGTGAGACGCTGTCTCAAAATAAAATTTAGGGGCTGGGGATTTAGCTCAGCGGCATAAGCACCTGCCTTACAAGCAGGCAGTCATGAGTTTGATCCTCAGTACCGATTAAAAAATATATGTACAAAAAAAAATTCAAAATAAAATTTGAAAAGGGGTGGGGGTATAGCTCAGTGGTGGAGTGCTTGCCCAGTTTGTGGAAGGCCCTGGGTTCAACCCCAGAAAAGAAAGAAAAAAAGTGGGCCTAGCTGTAGCAGTACACAAACCTGTAATGCTAGCACTTTGGCAGGCTGAGGCAGGAGAATCTTAATCCAACCCAATCTGGCCAATTTAGTAAGATCCTGAAGTTAACAAATGGAAAAAAAAGAGCCAAGAGGCTGTGGGGTCCCCTCCCAAGCCCAGCGGGCATCCCCAGGGAAGGCTGTGCCATGGCAGACTCTGTGTGGCCCTTACTGAGGGAGGAGTTTGCCTGCCGGGCAGTGGAAGAAGGCTGTGCAGAAACCCTGGCCAGGTGGTGGGCACAGAAACCCCCTGGGATTTGGAACTTTGCATCTCTCAAGGAGATGCCTCGAGCGTTAGGTCAGCATTGGAAGGCTTCCCACAGCATTCCCTTGCAGACTGGGCCACTGGTCAGGGATCACCAGGGATGTCCAGGCCAGGGCCAGGCTGCTGGACTCTCTCTGTGGCTCTAAAAGGAGCTGAAACACGAATTCAGGGAGTCAGTGGCCCTTACCTGGGTGTTGTGTCACCCCGGACACGGTCCCAGTCCTAGAGGCAAACTGGCCAGCATGGGTGGCACCTGGCACCCCAGCAGAACACAGGCACAGAGGAGGGCACTGGCTTCTTTCAGGCCCAGGGAAGCTTTCTGGAGACGCCCTGGAGAGGAACAGTGGGCATGAGAGGAGGGCGTGTGGGAAGACCACAGGGTGGGCAGAGAGAGGCAGCCTGCAGCGGCTGCAGGACGCGGAGCCCAGGCCAAATTTGAAAGGAGCTGGGCAGATCATCGCGGGCCTTCCTGCTGTGGTGAGAGGTTCAGGCTTGGTCTGCAGTGGGGAGCAGGCGTGTACGTTAGGGAGCCACAGAGGGCAGTATAGGAGCAAGGCCAGTGACAAGGCAGCACATGTGGCCTGGACTGAGGGTCTGCTCTGGAAGGTGACTTGAGACAGCTGTTACAACTCGTCCCAGTTGGAGGGAAGGGAGAGACCTGCCTAGGATTGGGAGCCTGAGGTAGGGGATGCTGGACAGACAGATGAACAGGCTTGAGGTGGGAGATTTTCTTTTTTGACACAGTGACTCATGAAGTAGTTCAGGCTGGCCTTAGAACTCAACCAGGAAGCCCAGGCTGGCCTCAGATATTAACAGTGATCTTCCTGTCTCAGCCTCCCCAGTGTGAGATTATAAGTGGGCACCACTAGGCCTGGCCCATGTCAAGTATGTTTTGATGAGCAGAAGCTTGTTATAAGGCCCTAGTTAGCAGCTTGTCTTCTGCTGGGGTGTGGCAGGGGCACAGTGCTTTGAGCACCTGTGAGAATCCCCTGCCCAGCCCTGTTTCCTCATAGGTGGCGGGGACACCGAGTTAGGTGTGGGACCGGCTGCCCTTGAGAAGCCAGTGTGGACAGTGTGTGTCGCCGGGGAGGGGCGCAGTGGTCAGCTCCTCAGTGGAGGATCTGGGGTCAGACTCGAAGAACGATGATCACATGGAGGACTGAGCAGGGAGCCCCAAGTGCACAGAAAACAGGCCCAGGACGAGGAGGCACGTGAGGGTAGGTTTCACCAGGGCAGCATCTGGGATCACTTCCTGGAGCAGCTCGAGGAACGCTGAGCCCTTTCTAGATGCCTGAGGCCTCCTGGCTCCCACCCTTCTCCCTCCTCCCAGGTCGCACCCCTCCCCACGCCAGCTGCCATGGCTGCCACTCCCTTAACTCTTCCGACACCATGAGACTCCTCACCTCCTCCTCTTTATCCCTGAGATGTAGGCAGTAAAGGTATTTATATTTTTAGCTGGGTGTGGTGAAGTACACCTGTTATCTCTTCATTGGGGAGGCTGAGGCCGGAGGATTGCCACAAGCTCAAGGCCATCCTGGACTAGCCAGTGAGTTCAAGACCATCCCTGAGTGACACAGTGCGACCTTGTTTCAAAAAACAAATATTTCTATTTCACTTCCAGCTCAGGATTGACCAAAAATAGGAATGTTGCTCCGACTACAGGGTATTTGAATGTAGATGATACCTGAAGGGCAACTTTATATGGCTTAAAAAAAAATCTGAAGATTAACAAGCATTGTGGTGCACGCTGTGACCCCAGCATTCAGCAGGCTGAGGCAGGAGGCTCAATGTGAGTTTGAGGCCATCTTGTACTACATAACAAGACTCTGCCTCAAAAAAAGTCAATAAACAGTCAGAAAATGAAAACTTAGGATTCAGGGTTCCCCGAAGGACAGGTTTTTCTGTACCCCTCAGAAGCATCTATGCAGTGTACCCAAAGTATCCTGAACCAGGGTCTGTGGGTCGTCCGCACCCCGCCCCAGGGTTTGCCAAAGCTTAAGAACCGCCAGGCGTCACGTGATTAGAAGTGGCCCAAACCTGGTCCCTAAGTGGTTCCCCCAACTGTCTTCAGTACTGGTTGTTTGGAACACTGCTGTCTGGGCAGCCAGCGCTGCCAGCAGCCGGCCTCACTGAGGGTCTGGTAGGGGTCTCCAGTGCTTCCAAGCTGCGGCTGTCCTTGGCGCTAGAAGGATGTCCTTATAGCTCGGAGGCAGGCAGTTTCCAGGCCCCGGGGCGGAAGACCGGAAAGGACTCAGTGCTGGAATTTACATTTTTCCTTTTGGGATGGAGATGGAAGGCGTTCCTGGTGTTTACAGCAGCAGCCACTCTGGTTCCCTGGGCTCCTCCTGGTCTTCTCTCTGGGTCCTGAAACTTGAGAGCATCTGCATGCCTGAATCTGAATGGTGGTCCCTCTGCCCCTCCCCGAGCCTGGGAAGCAGTGGGGGAAGGGTGGTGGCAAAGGTGAGCCTGGTTCCTTGTGGCCACACCTCTGACACTGCTTTCCAGGGACTGCTTTCTAAAACAAAGTGACAGCGACCACAGCACCTGTAACGTTTGGCACTCATTTGTGGAGCATTAGGCTGATTGGATAACTGAGCTTCAGAGAAGCCAGGTCTTGTCATGGCTGCAGCACCCTACAAGGCCAAGACCTGCGAGCCACAGCCCCGCCCATGGGTTTCCAGGTAAAGGCAAGCGAGGCCCAGTGTCAGAGTGGCACCCGTCACCCCCATGGCATCATCTGTGCCCCCTGCCCAGGGCTCCAGACTTGCCTGCAAGTGCCGCCCCAGGAGTGAAGGGTCAGTGGAAAGAGAACAGGGTGTGTGGAGCAGTCCCAGAGTTTAGGAAAGGGAAGGCCGAGGTGCAGAGTGAGAAACAGGAGCCTGACGTGGCCTTGTGGACCAATCGGGCAGCAGGGCTGACCAGGAGAGGGTGTGGAGGCCGCTGAGGCTGCCTGGAATAAGGGAGCTGCTGGGAGGCTGTGGTCAGGAGGGAAGGACTGGCCTTCCAGCAGGTTCTCTCCAGGGTGGGCCCAGCAGGCCTATGCCACTGGCCTTCCCCAGCCAGCACGGTGGCTGCCCCAGAGCAGCTCATTTCTCCTCTTCATCTGTGGGGGAGCTAGTGCCGTGAGTGACAAGTGATCCCGGGTCTGGGCTTTACTTCCCCGAGGCTGAGTCCATTCCCAGTACACCCTTGCTCATCTCCCCATGAATCCTGTCTTTACTGATCCAGGCCACCTCCGACTTCCCCCAGCACATGTAGGAAGCATCGTACCGCGTAATTTACCATCTAATTGCATGCTGCCTTGAATGAGGGCTGTGGTTTCTGTGTGGTGGGCCTTGGGTACACAGCTCGCCTGTGGGTAAGAGGAGCAGACACTCATCTGGTCACTTTCCTCTGCTCTTCAGAGGCCTCCCCCAACCGACCCAGCCAGAGCAGGTGCTCAGGACATTCACCCAGGGGCCTGGTGGGAGGTGTGTTTCAGGCAGACCTACAGGTTGGTGTCAGGAAACTAAATTGGTAAGCGGGGGTGGGCACCTGTGCACCACCACCGCAGTCACCCAAATGCTGTGCCTCGCTCGCCTGAGCCTCAGGTTGGGCTGGTGGCGTACAGCCTGACTAGGCCAGCAGCACTGCAGTTGCCATGGTGACTTTGCTTTGCTGGGGGGTGGGTGGATCTGTTTCAGCCAGAATCATCTGTCTGGGCTGCCTCTCCTGCGTGCTCCGGGAACCATATTCTCCAGACCCCTGCCTTCTGCTTTCTGCCATAGGGCACAGCTTGTCCGATGCTTCGGTTTTAAATCATGACCTTCTATCAGATAGCAGCATGTACTGACTTGAAAGGGGAGCAGGAGGGCAAGGCCCAGAAGATGGGGCACTGGCCTGGAATGTGTGTACTGATGCAAGGCAACGCACCTCCGATGTCCCCCTCTTTGCCCCTCCTCTCCAGGCCACTTGCTCTGCAGCTGTGCTTCTGACCCCGAGGGACACCTCAATCCTCTCCAGGCCTCGCTTATAACAGACCGACAGGGCTTTCAGTGATTCCCATACCTGGTATCAGAATTACCTAGGGAAGCCTAGGCCCCAACCCTGAGTCTGCCGGTCCATGTGGGTAGAGCCCAAGAATTTCTGTCTGTAAAATCCTCTGTGGGTGGTCTTGAGGCATTCAAGTCTTGGGAAGTTTGGGGTTCTCATGACATGAGGACCTGTGAGGGCCCCATGGAAAGAAAACCCTCTACCCTGCTTGATGGGCCCGGCAGGTGGGTCTTGTCAGGAAGCTGCGTTTCCTGGTCACGCTGGCTAAGCCAGGCCCCCCCACTTCCCTCAGGAGAAGCCAGGAGTGAATGACAGGAAAGGGGGATGTTGCCATAACAACCAGCTCCAGGCAGAGGCCTCCTTTCCAGGGGCTGGTACTTTACCCTAGTCATGGTGGTTTCCATGGAGATGAGGTACTGAGGGACAGGGGAACATTTGCCCCACTTAAAACATCAGTGAGGAGCTGCCAGAAGGTAGCATACATCTCAGTGGGAGTCCTGGACCCCTGTCAACTTAGAGTCCCCAGCTTGGCCTCTGCTCTCCAGTGTGTGTCTGACACCTTCTTCTGCTTAGTTGCTCTCTCTGCAGCTGTCTCCTTAGCAACAAGTCCTGCTAACTCCATGCTGTTGGCTCCGGGGCTATTTTTAGCTTTGCTGCCAGCAGTCCAGTCCTGGTTATTTGCTTGCAAGCTTCATTTGGAGGGCAGAGGAACAGGAAAGTGAAGAGTGCCAGGCAGATTGGACCCAGACCTCTTGACAGTCATTAGAATGTCTGCTATAGAAAGTGGCTGTCCCCCAGCCTGGAGCTTGAGTGGTGGTTTTTGGGATGAGGCTTCGAGACCATGTTGCATTCAGTTCAGTAAATACTGTTTCCATCCTCCATTGTGTACAAGGTCATCAGTCCATGTGGCTTCCATAGTTCTGGCCCTGTATGATTTTTAATCTCATGGAGACGATGAGTACACAGTCAGTTTCTTACAGGCAAAGGAGACTGGCAGATCCAGGAGGGAACTACAGAGGGGGGGAGGTAAGGGACAGTAGGGGAAGGTAAGGAACAGCACGGAGAAAGTCAGGTTGAGGGGCCAGAGCATCTCTGTCCAAATAGACCTTGTCTCTGATCTGTGGCCTGCAGCCCCAACCCCGTGCGGCTCTCAGACACTTAGAATATAGTTAATATAACTGAGCTGGGCTCCAATTTTTATTTAATTTTAATTAATTGAAATAACTACCTGCAGCCAGCAGCTGCCCCAGTGGCCCGGGTGGGGCTGGAGAAGCTTTCTTGGTGGAAGCCTTAGAAGGGTGAGTAGGACTGGGGCCGGTGGGAGTTTACGGAAAGGGCCTTCTAGAAAGATGGACCGGCCAGCATGAGCAGCAGCAGCACATGGGTTCCTGAGCATGGGCTGGGCCACAGGTCACGGTGGACTTAGGTTTGCAAGGGTGAGGTGGGAGTGGGGAGCTGGTGGAGATCTGTGCTGCAGAAGATACGCAGTGACTTCTAGTGTGTGGCTGTGCAGGGCTGTGGCTTCTTTGGTTCTGAGTAAGGGGACTCAGGTAGTGGTTCTGTGCATAGTGGGCAGCAGCGTACTCCACCAAGATAGCATTTTATGGTAAAATATGCTACAGAACCTAACCTTTCCGTTAAAACTAGCCAGGCAGGCGTGCACCCTGGACCTTCGGACAGTACTGGTCTTGAGTGGGGTTTGCAGTCCAGGGTCGAGTCTCGGTTCTATAGGACTGGAAAGTCTGCACACTTGTGATCGTGCTCATAACTAAGAAGGGTGATGTACACCTGAAGGGTACAGTGACCAACATCTAAAAGGATGTGTCATTATTTTAAGGGCATACCACAACACTTGTTCTGCTGTTTTCTGGCATCTTACTGGTTGCAGAGTAACTGGAAAATGTAATTAGACTTAGATGTGTGCCTCAGGAATACAGGCTCGGAGCGGAGTTGGTGACCTCAGAGGTGTTTTGATCAGCATTGATGGCCTATTGAGTTACTGGTGTCTGCCTGCCAGACAGGAAATGTACCCTGCTGTGAGGTCACCCTCTCTGTGGGGCCATGCTGGATCCTTTCTCTCCAACATCTCTTTTAGGCTCTTGACATCTGCATCTTCTGTTCATCTAGAGTCCCTCCTTTCAGCAGCCTTGGATAGGAATCCTAAGAGCAGGACTTATTTTACACAGGGCTGCTGTTTTTTTTTTGTTTTTGTTTTTATAATTTTTTTTTTTGTCTTTTTCCTTTTTATCGGTACCAGGGATTGAACTCACAACTGCCTGCTTGCAAGGCAGGAGCTTATGCCGCTGAGCTAAATCCCCAGCCCCTGGGCTGCTGTTTTTAAGTTGACTATCTCTTATCTCAGAAAGGCAGAGCAGGGGATACAGCTCAGTGGCACAGCTCCCGCCTGACAAGCGCAAAGTCCTGAGTTTGATTTCTGGTACCAAAAAACCAAAACAAAAAGTCTATCCCAGGACCTACCCAGGGAAGGTTACTTAGCCAGGTCAAAAGCATCTGTAACCTGAGGGTTGTTGAAGTCTACCCTATTTTATTTCCCCTTCTCTTTTACTAAAAATACCCGTTTATCCTAGATCTTGGGATGTCTTCTGCTTTGGGGTCTGTGTCCCCTGACCAAAAAAAGGCGCAGCACTGGTCACATGTTTCCATCTATGAAAGGGTAGTGTCACCGGTTTGCATGGCCACAAGAGCCCCTAAGTTGTTGAGGAACCCTTTTGGGTCTGGGATTTTTTTTTTTTTTTTTTTTTTTTTTTTTGTCGTTTTCCTTTTTATTGGTACCGGGGATCGAACTCACGACTGCCTGCTTTCGAGGCAGGCGCTTATGCCGCTGAGCTAAATCCCCAGCCCCTTTTTTTTTTTTTTGCTTAAATTGGGAAGTTGTATGGAAAAGGTAACAATATTGTTTTTTCCAGTACTGGGGGTTGAGCTACATCCCTAGCTACCACATACCTTTCCCCTTTTAAAAATTTTTGGCTTCTTTTTTGGTGGTGTTGTGCATGCAAGATGAGCTCTACCATGGAGCCACATCACCAAGCTAGCTTGTTTTTTTCAGTGGGGTCTCATTATATAGTTCAGCCTCAGACACAGCAATCCTCCCGCCTCAGCCTCCGGAGTACTGGGACTACAGGCGTGTACTACTGCACCTTGCTTGAGAAACTTCCTCTTGAGAGGAGGCCTGGGATAAGGGGCAGGCTGACCTGGTGACAGACCTGGATGCTGGGGAGATAGCAGCCAGGCAAGCAGCTAAGTGAGTCATTTTAAATTTCTTACAGGTCCAGGGCAGCCCTGATGTAAATTCAGGGCGATTTTTTAGTACTACAGGTGGAATCTAAGATTTTGTGAATGCTGACCAGATACTCTCCCTTCAACCTACACTTCAGCCCCAAATTCACGGCTTCTCAGCCCAGCTTGGGGAGTTCCTGAAAAGCTGTCCCAAGCAGATACCTTGACTGAGTTGTGAGTAGAGTTAGGGCCTGTGTTTCTCTGGAATGGCTCCTTTCCCTTGGGCATGTTTCTAGGGTTGGCAGGGAAGCTTGTGCCACACCTACCAGTTCTCCGTGGAGAGGGCCCCCTGATTTGCATTCCTGCCCTCTCTTCAGGGCTTGCCTACTCTGATGCCCCTGGGAAGGATGTTCCGACTGGTGTGTCCCAGCTGCCCCATGGCCAGGAACCAGGCACCGGGGAGTTGGTTCTCTCATGGTCCCTAGGGTGCTGGTCTTTTGGGGTTGCAGGGAGCTAACAGCATCGCTCCTGTTTTGCAGATAACAGACTTCTTGGGGTTAAGTGGCTTGTGTCAAGGTCATGGTGGTGGACTCAGCTCAAGTTCAGATCTTCAGATAAGACCTCTCCTGCTGGGCGCCTTCACCTGCAGTTCCCGCTCTCCTTTCTAATTCATCTGGCAAATTTGAACCAGGCCATTCTCTCTAAAACACCCATTTATCTTGTCAGAAAAACCTTATCCTTATTCTGTTACGGAATCTATGCGCTAAGACTTTGAGTCTCTGTCCCATTATCCAGCCTCTCGTCTGTGCCCTTTAAGGTAGAGGTGAGGGAGGGATTTCTTTTCTTACTTAGCTGAACTCCTTCGGACCCCATTCATCTTCTGACCTCTTCAGCCCCATTTATCAGTCACACCACTGCCATCTGCTTGGTATTTGTGGTACTGTGGTGGCTTGTTTCTCAGTATTTTTTCTTTTCTTTTCGTGGTTTGGGGGATTGAACCCAGGGTCTTTGCCTGGTGCTGCATCCCAGCCCTTTCATCTTTTTCTTATTGACTTTATTAGGGTCTCCCTAAGTAGTTCAGTGGCCCAGGCCAGGCTGGAACTTGTGATCCTCCTGCCTCAGCCTCTAAGAGTGCTGGGATTACAGGCCCTGTGCCACCACGCCAGGCTTTCATCTTCCCAAATCCAATGGAATCTGTCAGTGCCCCAAGGGCAGAGCCCAGAGTGTCTGTTTCTGTATCTGAGGCTCCCATCCCCCTAGTTGGGGGCTGTGGAAGGAGGTTTTGGCCGCCTTGGAGGTAGCTGCCTCGCTGCCTGAGGACGGAGCTTGAAATGGCTGAAGCTGCTTCTGCAGGCTGGGCCCAGAGGCTCCAGGAGGTGGAGACGTCTCGAGACGCACGTGTCTTGCTGGGGACGAAGGCACTGCAGTTCCTGAAGAAGCGTCCTCATCATCAGCCTCACACACTGCAAAATGAGACAGTGCACTCCACAAGAGCCAGCGAGACCGGCGGCTGGGCCGGGCCCTGGCCAGAAGAGGGTTGGTTCCGCGGCGGCTGGGCCGGACCAGTCCGGCCCCCAGCGGCTCTCGGCCTGAGCTCCGTCGGGCGCCTTCGGTCCGCCTCCGTCTGTGCTCTTGAGTTTCCCTAACTCTTATCTGCAAGCTTTCTCTTTTTCTCGCTTCGGTAGTGCTGCTGCGGAACTCACTTTCTCCAACTTTCTCCTGCCTCCCAGACTGTCCGGAAAGCGCCGCTCCGCCCCCCGCCCGGGCCCGGCCGCCGCCCCCCGGCCGTGCGCCCTCCTCCCCGCCGCCCGCGGGCTCCCGCCTCGCCCCCGGCCCCGCGCAGATCGCCTCCGGAGTCGGGCAGAGGGGGCAGGGCCGGCGGCCGGGGCGGGGCGCTGGAAACGGGCGCAGCCCGGCCTCGCCCCCGGGCCCCCGAGCCCCGCGCCCCTGCGCCCCTCGGACCAGAGAGGGGCTGGCCCGCCGCCAGCGTCGGAGGCCGGCCCCCTCCCCCGGCCCGCGCGCAGCCAACCAGGCCCTCCAGCGGGGCCCACGTGACCTGGAGTTCTAGACAAAGAACTGTTCCCTCCCCCCGCGCCCCCTCCCCCTCCCCGGCCCCCTCCGCCCCCAGCCCCTTCGCCCCCTTCCCCTCCCCCCGCCGGGCAGCTACTTACAGAGAGCTTCAGGGCCGGGGCTCACACCTGAGCCGGACCGCAGAGGGGCTGCACCTGGCCTTATGGGTAGGTTCCTGGACGGAGCCCTGGGCAGGCTGGGGGCGGGGATGCGGCCGGGCCGGTGGGAGGATCCCGGCAGCCCTCAGTGTTTGAAAAGAGTCAAGTATGCCTCCCTGGCCCGCAGCAGCTGCAGCCGCCCCGGCCCGCCTGAGTTCTGAAGATGCTGATTTAGTGCCGTCCCACCCATTGCTGCTCAGGAGCCCCGCGGCCCCACTCCTCACCGGGCTCCAGTGGCACCCGGGACAGGAAGAGCAACCCCGGCAGTGGTAACTGCAGGCTGGGGAGCAGGCGGCCTGCGAGGGCAGCTGGCGACCAGGAGTCCGGCTGAAAGCGGTCTGGACGGAGCTGCTGGCGGACGGGCGCTTGGCAGTTAGCTCCCTTAGCCCCGTGTGCCCGGCTGGGGGACCGTGCAGTCCGCAGGGCCTGCCTGCCCGCGCCTCTAGGGAGGGACAGCTTTCTCCCTCGCGAGTTCCTGGGAGCTGCTGGGCCGGCGGTAGAGATGGAGAGAGCACTGTGACCCCGACAGGGCCGCGGGGGCAGCCCTATGCCCTGTGACATCGGGTTAGCCCAAGGCCGCGTGGGCTCGGGGACAGTGGTGCCATGACCTCTGACCTTTGGGGTGGGAGTTGCAGGGGGAGGGGGAGGCCACCGGTGCCCGAGGAGATGGAACTGGACGGGGAGGCTGTCTTCCATGGAGTTACCAGTGGCTTTCCCGGGCTGCTCAAACTCCTGGCCAAGTGGTTTACCTGAGCTGGCGGTCGTGGAGGAGGGTGTAATGTCCCCTGTGGACCCCACCCCCAGTCTCGCAGCTCATAGGGGAGAGGAGCCCCAGCCCCACTGCCAGGGTGCCGAGTTTACCCTTTTCTTGGCCCATTGTTTCCCTGGGGAGAAGGGCAGGGATGGCTAAGGGGTGAGGGCTCCTCTGTGGGCCGGGGTGACGCGGCTCGCGGCCCATCCCCCACAGGCCGCCCCTGCCCCCTTCTCTGCCCTCGGGCTCCTGCTGCTCACCCCCTCCTGCCGCCCAGTGCGGGTAGAGGCCGCCGTCCTCTGCCAGCCCGGACCATGCTGGGCGCACGTTCTCCTGCACCAAGTGTGCTGGGGTGCAGAGCAGCTATCAGCAGCGGCAGCTGACAAGCAGGAGGAAGTTGTGGAGGAAGAAGAATTTTCAGGAACTGCTGTGGAGGGGTGATGAGAGGGACAAAGGGGCGCGGGGTGGGGGGAGTAAGGAGGGGGGCGCAGCCGCGTCTCTAGACCCGAGGGCTGGGGAGGAGGCCGTGCCTTCCTGTCCGGTGTGCCCTCTTGCACACCTCGCACTGCTGAGGGTCCTTGCCAGGCCTGCAGGCAGGCTCCTCGCGGCCTCCAAGGCAGTGGCCTCATCGAAGTTAGTTATCCTTGCCTGGAGCTGGGAGCAGGCGTGATACGAGGCAGCAGACAGCTAGGCCTGGAGCTGGCGCGGCTGATGATCCCAGCAGAGGAGCTGGCCTTGGCAGAAGGGAGCCCCCTCCCCCAGAGGCAGAGCCTGGTGCAGTGTCTTAGGGGAGGAGGTGATGGCTGATTGATGGAAGGAAGCGAGGAGCAAAGTCCTGGCCAGGTGAGGGTGGGGCTGGAGGGGGTGGGGCAGTTGCTCTGCATTCTTGCAGGGCCACCAGCTCCTTTTCCCAGGTGTTTGTGGGCTGGGGCGAAGGATGTTTTACCCCATTTCAGAATTTGTTGAGTCAGAAAGAGCCAGGATAATCTCCACAACAAACAAATCTGGTTTGTTGCCGGGAGAGAAAGTCTTGAAGGTTGCGTGAAATAAGTGGAATTGATCAGTCAGTACAGTAGCGGGCCCCTGGGACTCAGGGTCCTTGACAGAGTTCAGAAGACTCTGTGATACATAGGTGTGTCAGATTGTGAAACAGGTCGGAAAAGGGGATCAGAAATCCCTGGTTCAAATGTCTTTTTTGGTTGGAGCAACTCAAAAGAGGCTGGGCTTGTCCCACGGGCTGCTGAGCTGCCCCGATAAACTGGGGCCGTGGCTGATCTGACTTAGTGTAGAGCTCTTTCTCACACTATGAGTTGCTTTCTGAATTTGTACTATTGTGGATTTGCATTTATAGCTCAAAACTCTTGCAGAAAGTTGTTTACTAGAAGACAGGTTGAATGGGATTTTTGCGGGGGGGCTGGGGATATAGTTCAGAGCGTGTGCGTATTAGCCTGTGGAGGACCTAGGATCCATTCCCAGCACCAAAACTAAAAATGAAAGATTTTTTTTCTTCTGAATGTGTTATGGTGGAAATGGGAACAGAACCTTAAAGTTCGAGGGCCACATGGCCCAGATTCAGGGATGGGAGCTGAGGTGAATAATTTCAGAACTTGAGTATCAAGAGTTTCGTTCTCCTTTAGCGGGGTCCTAGAGCAGGTTTTGAGGAGGACTGGCCATGTGGGTCGTAACAAAGACAGAAGTGTGATACAGGGAAAGGATGCCGGTGGTTCCATGGAGAATGGCTGGGGTTTGGATTGTTAATTTGCCGATGGGATGGCAGACAGTGCTGGTTCTGTGGGCTCAGCAGGGAATTGAGCGAGCAGACAGAAGTACAGATCTGAAAGGTGTGTGCAGAAGATAACGGCGCACAGCATGTTGCCGGGAACTCCTGAGCACCCCGGGACGGAGCAAGGAGGCAGGCTCTTCTGGAACTTTCTGTGATGCTGGAGCAGATGCAGGAGATGTGCATATTAAATCAGTAGACAGAGCAGCGCTGGGATTGTGGACTGGGAGAGGACTGATTGGCCAGGAGAACTGTGGAGGAAAAGATATGCCCTCCCCTTTTTGATTGAGAAGGATGAAAGGCGGGAGCCAATCTGCCCGGACAGTGGTGCCAGGAGTAATATTTGAATGGAAGCCTCCCTTGCAGATCAGCCTAGAAGATTAGGCCAGAGCAGGAGGGCTGTGTAGGAAGCAGGAAAGGTGGCTGGGATGGAGCCCTGTATTTGCCTTCACCTGCCAGCCTCAGCTGTTGCCCATTTCATGGCAGGCCAGTTGGGTTGAGGAGGGAAGAACTATTCTCCTTTTTTATTTTATTTTGAGACAGGGTCTCTATGCAGTTCACGCAGGCCCTTCACTTTGTAGCCCAGGCTGGTCTCGAACTTGCAACGATCTTCCTGCCTCAGCCTCCCGAGTGCTGGGATTACAAACCTTTAACTCCTCCCTGTCACCACCTGTAGGTGACAAATGGAGGGGGCATAGATAGCCCCTTAGCCTTGCAGATGTCCTGTGTCTGAAGGCTCCAGGTGACTGTTGTCTGGTTTCCCCAGGCTGAGAAGAAAGCCAAGGTGATTGCAGTAATGAATGCTGTCGAAGAGAACCCAGCCTCTGGGGACTCTCAGAAGGTGGAGGAGGCCAGCCCTCCTGCCGTGCAGCAGCCCACTGACCCGGCGTCCCCCACTGTGGCCACCACACCTGAGCCCGTGGGGGCCGATGCTGGGGACAAGAATGCCACCAAAGCAGCTGACGACGAGCCGGAATATGAGGTGAGCGGCTTGCTTCTTCGCCAGCCTTGCCCGCTCTTTCCGGGGGCCTCCACCACCAGCTCCTCCTGCCCTGCTCTCCATCTCCCACTGGCTGTTCGCTCTCTCCACCTGACCCTGGGCCTCTTCATCTCCCTGACTTTGCTGTCTCCCTCCATCACGTGGAGCTCCCTCCTGGCTGTTGCGCCCCCAGAGACTCGGGGCTGGGGTTGCCAAGGGGGGACCAGGGTGGCAGGGTCTCGTGACCGTCATGTAATGATTTCTGCTCCTTGGGGCTCCAGGACGGCCGGGGCTTTGGCATTGGGGAGCTGGTGTGGGGGAAACTGCGGGGCTTCTCCTGGTGGCCAGGCCGAATTGTGTCTTGGTGGATGACGGGCCGGAGTCGAGCCGCTGAAGGCACCCGCTGGGTCATGTGGTTTGGAGACGGCAAGTTCTCGGTGGTAAGTTGGGGGTTTGCCTGCAAGTGGGGAGAAGGTCCCAGGGGCAGCCTAGGGCTGGAGTGGGAGATGTGGGCTCTGCTCATGCTCACACATGTGCTGAGTAGAGGAAGCCTCTAGGTCATTCTCGTATAGCCACAACTCAGGCAACACAAGTGTCCCCCCACCCTCCAGCCTGTTGGCTGCCAAGAGCCCTTCCTCTGGTAGGAATTCCTTCCCCATGCCTCAGGCCTTCCTGCTTTTGATCTGGGACCCTCCCTTAGCCTGCTTGATTATCTTCCCTAAGCGCCCAGGTTGACTCCTAGGGCTCCTGACCCCTGACAGTTAGTTGGGAGGCTGGGGGAGCCTGAGAGTTTGAGGAGGAACAAACGGGGCTGACTGCTCCTCCCCTAGGTGTGCGTTGAGAAGCTGATGCCGCTGAGCTCCTTCTGCAGCGCCTTTCACCAGGCCACCTACAACAAGCAGCCCATGTACCGCAAGGCCATCTATGAAGTGCTGCAGGTGAGTGCACCCCCGGGGAGCTCAGGAAAGGGCTGAGCTGTAGGGCCACCTGGAGGCTGGGGGCCTGTGGGGAGAGACCCCTTTCCTGCCCACTGTCGTCACCACCTCTGCAAGCTGGCTCCTCAGACATCTGTCACCCCTGCCATTCCCCACCTTGGCTGCTTTCGGGCCTGTCGTCCATGCCACCTCCCCTGACCCCGCCTCCCATGTGTTGCCCCCAGGTGGCCAGCAGCCGTGCGGGGAAGCTGTTCCCAGCTTGCCATGACAGTGACGAGAGTGACACTGCTAAGGCTGTGGAGGTGCAGAATAAGCAGATGATCGAATGGGCCCTTGGAGGGTTCCAGCCCTCTGGCCCCAAGGGCCTGGAGCCACCGGAAGGTGAATGCAGGCCCCGGCCAAATCTCCCGGATGCCCTACCTGCTGTGCTTGGGGAGGGCTGCTGAGCTTCCGCAGAGGGCTCAGGCGGGGATGGCCGCTGCCTCCTGGGACTGCCCCTGGGCTCACTGTCCCCTGTTCGCTTCTCGGGACCCAGGAATGGGAGGAACTGGCCAGGGACTAGATGCACCCCACTGTGGGCAGCACAGAAAGGGAGCTGGTGTTCTGTGTTTGCCTGCAATGAGCCTGGTCTCTTTCCTTTCTGGTGCAGAGGAGAAGAATCCCTACAAAGAAGTTTACACAGACATGTGGGTTGAGCCTGAGGCAGCTGCATATGCACCCCCTCCTCCAGCCAAAAAGCCACGGAAGAGCACAACAGAGAAACCCAAGGTTAAGGAGATCATTGATGAACGCACAAGAGGTAGGTGGCGTGCGCTGGAGGGTGACTTAAGACCGCCAGGCTCGGCCTGGACAGCCTCTGACACGCATGTCCCTCCCCTGCAGAGCGGCTGGTGTACGAGGTGCGGCAGAAGTGCCGGAACATCGAGGGTGAGTCAGCCCCTGAGCTGGGGGTGCTCCTGGCACAGGGAGGAGAATCTGGCTCCTGCAGTCCAGACGCGCTGTGGCATTTGTGTAGGTTCTTAGGAAAGTTAGGCTACTGTAGGCCCGGGCCCACAGTGCTCAGTGCTGGGCCTTTCTGCCTGACCCCCTTCTCTCAGCCCGCTCCAAGCATGTTTCACTTCCTAGAGCCATGATTTTGCTTTCCTGTCCATGTCAAGCAATGGCCTTTGGGGATTGAGGACACTCCCAGGGATTCCAGCAGAGCAGCCAGCTGAGGCCCTGTTCTCACGAGTGGGTTTCTGTCACTGGATTGCCCTGTTCCTGGATGTCGACATTGCTATCCTGGGAGAGAAAGGGGCTTTGAGGTTGGGGCCATGATGTACCCTCCCATTGTTGCTGCCTGGGGCTCTGGTGATGCTCACTGCAGTTATTTTGGTTTACAGACATTTGCATCTCATGTGGAAGCCTCAACGTCACCTTGGAGCACCCTCTCTTCATTGGTGGAATGTGCCAGAACTGCAAGGTAGGGACGCCTGCTGCAGAGCTGACCCCTTGCCCTGCTCAGGAGGATACCCGTGGGAGTGTGACATGGGCCCCCCAATTACTTTGGAAGCAGAGTCCTGGCTGAGTAGACTTCAGGCGCCAGCTTTTGGCTTACTGTGTCCCCGAAGATCCTCCCAAGCTGGATGTAGGCCCCAGCTTTGGGTAGGGCAGGGGCAGGGCTCATAGCAGCACGGCGTTGGTGGGCAGGCTAGCTGATAGGCGAGTTGTCCCACCTTAAGGACCCTTAGGAAGAAAGAGGTGATGGGCAGCTGCCTTCTCGGGTCTGGGTTTGGGCCTGAGCCTAGGTGTCAGGACCTGTCTCCATGGCTGTGGTCAAGGTGCCACCAGGCTGGTTCAGAGCCTGCCTCTACTGTGGGTGTGCTGGGCCATGCCTGGTGGTTCTGACCCTCTGTGCCCTGCCTAGAACTGCTTCCTGGAGTGTGCATACCAGTACGACGACGATGGCTACCAGTCCTACTGCACCATCTGCTGCGGGGGTCGCGAGGTGCTCATGTGTGGGAACAACAACTGCTGCAGGTGAGGCCCTGCCCCTCCCTGCTGGGACCCGATTCTTGTCCACTCTTCAGCTGCGCCCCAGCAGAGCGCTGCCACTCCAGGGTGCACTCTTGACCTCCCAGAGCAGGCGCGGAGGTCCCCGCTCATTGAGCCTCTTTTCAGGTGCTTTTGCGTGGAGTGTGTGGATCTCTTGGTGGGGCCAGGGGCTGCCCAGGCAGCCATCAAGGAAGACCCCTGGAACTGCTACATGTGCGGGCACAAGGGCACCTACGGGCTGCTGCGGCGGCGGGAAGACTGGCCGTCTCGGCTCCAGATGTTCTTTGCCAATAACCATGACCAGGAATTTGTGAGTGCTGGGCCTTAAGGCATGGTCTCCCACACTCTTTGCTGAGACTCAGCCCAAGTGAGAACACTTCCAGGAGTTATGGGGCCTGAGAACAGGCGTGCCTGAGTGCTGTGCGGGCTGCAGTCTTAGAAGGCTGAAAGGCCTCTTCGTGGGCCGGGAGGGCTGGCCCAGGGTGGGATCTGGAGGCCACTCCCGCACGCTACTAACCAGTGTGCTCCCTGCTTAGGACCCTCCGAAGGTTTATCCACCTGTCCCAGCCGAGAAGAGGAAGCCCATCAGGGTGCTGTCTCTGTTTGATGGAATTGCTACTGGTGAGTGACATGGGTTGCAAGAGCGCTGGCCCCTTTGTCCCTGGACAGGGGAGCTCTGGTTGTGTGTGCACACACAAAACTCTGGCAAGACAAAATAATCGTTGACATTACAACAGAATATATCCTAAAGAGAGCATGTTCATAGCCAGATGTGGTTGCTGGATATTTAATCCCAGCAATTTAGCAGGCTAAGGCAGGAGGCTCACTAGTTCAACCAGCCTGGGCAACTTAGTGAGACTGCTTGTTGGTGTTTTAAAAAAAAGAGTGGGGGGTAGGGCTGAGCATGGTGGCATACACCTGTGTTCTAAGCTCTGGGGAGGCTGCGCAGAAGGACCAGCCTGGCCTGTTACATAGTGAGGTCAGGCTCAACCTCAACTGCATAGTGAGACACTGTCTCATAACAACCAAAGGGGTGGTGGTGCGGATGTAGCTTAGTGGGTGAGTGCTTGCCTAGCATACACAGGGCCCCAAGTTCAGTCCCCAGTGCTACAGAAAAAGCAGCTTTCATGTTGCTTGAAAATGTACGCAGTCAGCAGACATTAGATTGGGGGGGGCGGGCAATAAAGAAAAAACACTGGTAAATAAATTTCCTCCAGTGCAGATTTTCCTTAAGGGAGATTCTGCAAGAGGACAGCAGTGGCAGGGTTAACAAGCTTTCAGAATCTTCAAAGAGTAGACTTGGTGACCAGAACATAAACAGTTGTGTTGTGTTTTGATTGTAAACCAGATAATCTAAAGAAGACTTAAGTCTAGTGCTCCTATAATTAACATTTTGGTGAGTGCCCTTTTAGGATTTTTTTCTGTGTGCTTGTGTGTATTTATATAATGGTATGTCTGTAGATAAATTAAACAAAATAGTAAATGCATACCATTTTGTAATTTGCCTTATTTATGATGAGTACTTCTCATGTTAACCAGGACAGAGCGACATCTATTTGTAAGCCCTACATTCTGAATGTGAATTCTGAATTCTGAGTGTTATAATTGAACTAAGCCCCTAGTAAGTTATTTCCTGTTTTTTCATTATTGTAAACAGTGCTGTGACACACATTCTTTCAAATATATCTTTATATATTTAATACCTGAGGCCCTGGGTTCACAGGTAGAAGTACATCTTTATATACTTAAACCGTTGACTTGGAAAAGCTCTTGGGAAATGCTGGGTCCTGTGTAGGCTCCACGTGACTGCTGGAAAGCCTTCCTGGGAGGCTGTACTGATGTGAACAGATAGCACCCCTTTGCCACCTCCCCAGGCAGGGAGCCTCTGGGGTCTGCTCCCTGTGGGACTTGTGCCTTCATGTGACCAACCACAGGGAAGTTCTGGCAGCCTGAGGCCAGAGACCCCGGCCCGAGGGTGAGATGTGGGTGGTACCCAGGCTGGTGTTTGTCTCCTGTTCTCAGCCCCATGCTGTTGCCCTGTAAATCTGGAAAGTTCAGCTTTGGTTTCCCATGCTGAACCTTCGAAGCTTTCTGAAATCACATCACACCCATGAGGGTGTAAAAGTTCGTGGTTCATGTCAGAAGCTATAGAAATGTAGCACTGTCCGTTTCTCCTAGTCTTCAGGTCTGCTTGTACTGTTTCCTTGCCGCAGGCCGTGGCTCTGTTCACTAACGTCAGGGTAAGAAGCCAGCTCAGGAGCAGGTGCAGCGCGCCTGAGACCTCCTGCCTGTCTGGCGGACAGCTGCAGCCTGAGAGGAGCTGGGCTGCGGAGACTGAGACACCAAGTACTCAGCGGAGGGAGAAGATGCCTGAGAGCGGGCAGGGTGGGGGAAGGAGGAAACCTTTAGAAGCACATGGCCCTCCGCTTGGGCCGGAAGACAGGGTGGAATCCCCGCAGGAGGTGATGGAGGCAGGGATAGAAACTAGACAGACAGGCCACCCAGAAGGCAATGGCAGTTCTCCTCACTGGTCAGTCTCTGCTGTTTTCACCACCTTCCAGGTAGGCCAGACTAGGTCTAAACCACAGCCACAAAGCTGTGGCCGTTGATATTGCAGCTTGGACAAGAAAGAATTTCAGGCCCTTCCTGGGCACAGTAGGGCCTGGACTGCTAGCTGCCCAGAGGGCTTGCTTGCTAACACCAGGTACCAGGACAGTGGCCCCAGGTGACAGTGCTCTCTGCTGGCTGGCACAGGGCTCCTGGTGCTGAAGGACCTGGGCATCCAGGTGGACCGCTACATTGCCTCCGAGGTGTGTGAGGACTCCATTACCGTGGGCATGGTGCGGCACCAGGGGAAGATCATGTACGTCGGGGATGTCCGCAGCGTCACGCAGAAGCACGTACGTCAGTGCTGCGGGGTGCACCCCGCCTCCTCCCCCTGCACCCTGTCTACTTAGCTCCCAGGAGCTGCCCTGCCCTCCTTCCCGTTCTGTTCACTCCTCACTCGCCCCCAGCTTCTCTCTCCTTGTCTTCCCTTTTTCGTCTTTGACTTACAGGGTTGGTGGGCAGGTGAACAGTGGAAATTTGGGCAGGCACGGTGGCGTGGTGCACACCTGCGATCCCAGCTACTTGGGAGTCCGAGGCAGGGGGATTGCTAGTTTAAGACCAGCTGCGCAGTTTACCAAGATCCCCTCTGAAAAACAGCTGGGGGTGTATCTCAGTGATAGAGCGCCCTGGGTGTGCCCCTCAGTGTGCTGTGCGGCCTGGGGCTGAGGGCCTACCTTAGCGGTAGAGCCCTTGAGTAGCAGTTGTGAGGCCAGTTTCCATCTCCAGTAGTGCCAAAAGAGGCAGATTTGGAAACTTGCTGTCTGGGTGCTGTCAGGCCCTCTGTGGTAGAGTACTTTGGACTGGAGAGGTCCTGTACTCCCAGTGCTTTTGGCAAATGGCTTACCTGCTGCTGTTTGGGGGAGCTCTGGCGGAGTCTGCCTGAGGTCCATGTTGAATCCTGAGGACACTGCCAGTGGCCCAGATACCCTGCCCCAGGCAGTCAGTGTGGGGGCTGCCGGGAGCACCTTCCCACCTAGTGGCTGCTGGTCCTACCCGACTTGTCCTGGATTCCCTGCTGGCCTCAAGCATGGTTCAGTTTGTGTGTCCTTATTGTTCAGGAGCGGGATCCAGGGAACCTGTGTCCGTGACTTTGCCATGTTTACAGCTCAGTTTTGTTGTCTGCCTCTATCCCTGGAGAGCAGGCCTGTCATAGTTCTTTATCCTCCCAGATCCAGGAGTGGGGCCCATTCGATCTGGTGATTGGGGGCAGCCCCTGCAATGACCTCTCCATCGTCAACCCCGCTCGCAAGGGACTCTATGGTAGGTCTTGTCCTCAGCCTCCACCCTGTGACGGTGCTTCTGCACTTGGGTTTCCTCCTTGGGTGTCTGCCCCGGGACAGCTGCTCTGGGACCCTGTCCTCCTGGCCCTCCCCTCCCGCAGTCTGCTGCAGGCGGCTCCAGCTGATGACTTTCTCTTCCGACCCTCAGAGGGCACGGGCCGGCTCTTCTTTGAGTTCTACCGCCTCCTGCATGATGCGAGGCCCAAAGAGGGAGATGACCGCCCCTTCTTCTGGCTCTTTGAGAATGTGGTGGCCATGGGCGTTAGTGACAAGAGGGACATCTCGCGATTTCTCGAGGTATAGCCAGCACCCCTTGGTTTGGCTAGCCACCTCACTAATGGCTTGTACCTTTGACTGCTGCATTGTTCTGTCTGATCTGCATGGTGCAGCCGTGGGCTCAGGACTTCGGCCTTGCAAGGGGCCTGTGTGGGATGCTCGGGGCTTCCCAAGCAGAGCAGGAGTAGCCAGAAAGAACAAGTGCTCTCCTCCATGTGTGAGGTGGTGCCAACTGTCTTTATGTAGGGTCAGGTGCCAGGGATGGGGATTCTGTGTGATTAGGGGGCATCTTTAAGATGCTGTGTTCAATTTTCTCTGACCAAACTGGCTGTCTTCATTCCCTGGGTCCACTTATGGCTGGCACCCAGATAAAAGCATCCTTATCCCAACTTAATATCTTATGACTTGAATCCCAGTTCAGTGCTTGGCCAGAGGTGTGCCCTGTACAGAGAACTTCTGCTGCCAGAGGCATTCTTGGGTGGGCTCAGTACCACCCCAGGCCTGTTGTGTGATTGTAAACGTGAGGGTCATCCATTCGGCTTCTAATGCCGGCCCAGTGCACACACTGAAGCTCACTGACGCCTGCTTTGTCTGAAGAATCTGCATGGTCGGAAATACCTTGTCCAGAATGGGAGCCATTGGCCTTGTGTGGCTGTTTACACTAAAAATCCACTCAGGCCCACTGGCTTTGTTTCAAACACAGTGCGACCACCTGTAACTAGTAGCCTAGTAGCAACAACAAGGAACAGTGCCCACAGACAAGAATGCTCATTCGTGCAAAAAATTCATTTGGACAAGACCAGTCTGGAATGTTCTGTGAGAGCATGTGTTCATGGTAAGGTGTGGTGTTTGCGTGTGTAGCTAGGGTTGGTTCCAGCATTTCCTGGAGGCTTCAGGCTGTCCCAGGATGTGGCTGCTAGAGAGAAGCGCGAGCTGTTGAGGGTTTTAGGTTCTCAGCAGGCGGAATCACCAAGCACTGGCTAATGCTGTCCTTTAAACTGTTTCCTGTTTATAGTCCAACCCTGTGATGATCGATGCCAAAGAAGTGTCTGCTGCACACAGAGCCCGCTACTTCTGGGGTAACCTTCCCGGTATGAACAGGTTGGTGAGCACTTCAGGGCTGGGGGGTGGGTGCCACGGGTGGTGTCTACAGACAGGATGTCCCGGAGAAGGGGTGTTAGAGAGGACCCATCCTGGGCTGGCCTCCGTTATTCAATGCCTGCTACTCTTCTGTGTTTTTTATTCCTTGAGAAAGATGGGGAGTTGGGACACAGAAAAGACTTGCCTGAAAAAGCCAGCAACTGCTGGCCTAAACAGGACTTGGACAGTTGTTCTTAGCTGGCCACAGTGGTACCCATCTGCAATCCCAGCTACAAAGGAAGAGGCACAAGCTTGAGGGTAGCCTGGGCACCTTAGTGAGACCTTGTCTCCAAAGCTGGCCTAGCATGCGTGAGACATAAGCTTCAATTCCCAAAAACACACAAAAAAGTGGGTTTTTTTGCACAAGAGAATCCTGTGCTTTGGAGTTGAAGCTGCCTCTCCTACCTCTCCTACCTACCAGAGTCAGCTGGTTCTTAGGCCCTCTTGGGGGAGAGCCTGCAGAGTGGGAGTTGTGGGGAGGGTGGCACCCAGGAGGGGAACCTGAAGCCAAGCATGTGTCTGAGGGTTCTGTTTGTTCTCTGTCACACTGCGTTGGCTTCGTGTCCTTTATTAGACAGAAAGGACTTGTTTCATTTAAATCATACAGGTTAAGATCTTAATGTCAAGGATTGAAGAAAAATTTTTGTTCTTTGGGTGTAATGATTGCATGACAGGCTTTTGGAGAAAGATTTGTTCTGGAATTGCAGTTAGAAAGAGAACCACCTTTCCAGAGACCCATTATGGAGCTTTTTTTTTTTTTTTTTTTTTTCTTTCCTTTTTCTTTTTGAGACGTGCAGTTCAGGCTGGCCTTGAGCTCTTTATGTAGACCAGGCTGGTCTCAAACTTGCAGTGATCAGCCTGCCTCAGCCTTCTGAGTGCTGGGATTGCAGGCGTGTACGAGCACACCCAGCTCTAGCATGGATTTTAAAAGTTTACCTGTAAATGGAACACATCGTGTAGCTTGGCTGCGCTTATCTCTGCATTGCTGTTCACATGGGCTCTTAGTCTTTTGCAAGAGCTTTTTGAGCCTGTGTTTTGCAAGGAGATACACTTGCTTGGTCCAGTGTTTCTATGGAGCTGCTAATTCATGTACCCTGACAGATCATGGTCCAACAGGATTATTGCTACCCGCTTCTTCCAACCCTAAAATACGAGGATTCAGAAGGCCTAGAAATGGCAGAGGGACCCTGTGGGGCCAAGTAGGTGATGCATGCAGTACACCGAAGTCAGCAAGGTGTCCGTTGTGACCAGTGGCCCAGGTCCCCACGCGAGATGTGGAGTGCCATGCAAACCTGCATTAAATGCGCCTCAGTGTCACAGTGGTTGAAGAGCTTCAGCTGTCTGGCCTGCAGCTATCTGTATCACAGAATTTGAGTCCTTGGGCTGACTGCAGAACTTTTAATTGCATGTGTACAAAGCATACATTGCAGTGAATTCCTCCAGTGACACTCATGAATCATCGCCACACATCAAGGTGCAGATCTGTGGTGGCACAAGCTGCTTGTCCCAGCACGCACTGAGGCAGGAGGGTCGGCACAGTTTCCTAACCACATGGGCTGCATAGTGAGTGCAAAGCCAGCCTCAGAAAAGACAAAACCATCTCAAGATAGAGAACATTCTCTTACCCTGAAAGCTCACTTTGTTGTGAGGTAAAATAGCATATTTAAAAATAACCAATTTTTAAAAATTGTGCTTTTTGCCGGGTACCGAGGTCCCAGGTGCCCCTCTGTTCCTAGCGCTCAGAACCAAGAACTACAAAGTAAGACATCATCCCAGAATTCACAAACAAACGCAGGCTTTTTCTCCCTGTTTTGGGCAGACCGTTTGGTCTGCCTTTTGGTAGTTTGAGACTGCTTTTGAATTTGCCTGTAAGGATGAGACCTGACCGATGTGTCCGTGGACGGCTGCAGTGTGTGTGTGACAGTTTGGAGTTCGCAGAGGGTTCTGACCTATATCCGTGCCCCTGTGTGTCAGGTAGCTGCTGGAGGTGAGCAACCTTGGGGGACCTCCACGTTGCCCCCCAGGTCTCTGCTGTCACACTGTCTTCTACCTTGCAGGCCGTTGGCATCCACTGTGAACGATAAGCTGGAGCTGCAGGAGTGCCTGGAACATGGCAGAATAGCTAAGGTCAGCCCAGCCGGACCTTGGGGAGGAGCCGAGCGGGGCGGGGCGGGTGGTGTCGGCACTGGCCCACGAGGCACCTTAGAATCTGGAGTTGGCCAGGGCACGGTCCCGGGCTGCTGCCTTGGGCCTTCCTTCCACTGGGAGCTCGGCACCAAGGAGCCTTCAGCAAAGTTCCAAGTCCTTTAAAACATTTTGACCAAGGGTCATCAGAGCAAGGGGTGTCTCCTGGGACATGCGTTTCTGTCCGGAGAAATCTGCTACGTCCATCCAGGGCTTGAGGCTTCCTGCTAGCAGGTGCAGGGCTCGGGACTATTGACCCACAGTGCAGCTTGGAGCGCTGGTCTCCTTCAGACACAGCCCCAAGAGGGCTGAGCCCTTGGGAGACGTAGAAGTGTAGTGGGCAGTGCTGCCACCTCTCAAGCCTGACTGGCTGATTGGACCAAGGATGGCCAGGTGACCTCGGGATGGGAGGGAAGCAGGACACGCAGGCTGGGGGCTCAGCCCCTGCTGGATGTGGGCTCATGGCTCTCTTCTCTCCGTCTTCTAGTTCAGCAAAGTGAGGACCATTACTACTAGGTCAAACTCCATAAAGCAGGGCAAAGACCAGCATTTCCCCGTCTTCATGAATGAGAAAGAGGACATCCTATGGTGCACTGAAATGGAAAGGTACCTGCGTCTGCACTGGGGCGCTCTGTGTGGGGTGTCCTGCCTGCTTTGCTCTCCAGGGGTGGGTTCCTCTTTCTGCCAGGATTGTGTTGTCCACAAATCCAAGGATTCCCCAGTATGGTAGAGTCCTGCCAGGGGACTCCTGGTTAGCCAGGTCCTTGTGCGCTCTATAAGTGACCGGTCCTGAATCAGGAGGATCTGGGAATCCTTTCTGGTGCCTGTGCTCCTAGGGCTTCCCTAACTACTCCTGTAGTATTCTAGGAAGGTGGTATGGCAGTGTGGGTGCGGGGGGTCCACATGGCCTCTGCACCCTCATTCTGTGCAAGCTGGACTCAAGGGCTGAGTTAGCTCCTGGTTCTTTTTTTTTTTTTTTTTTTTTTGTCTTTTTCCTTTTTTATTGGTACCGGGGATCGAACCCACGACTGCCTGCTTACAAAGAAGGCACTTAATGCCGCTGAGCTAAATCTCCAGCCCCATAGCTCCTGGTTCTATATAACTAGGATTTAGCCAGACAGAAAGACCATTTACACAAACAACCAGAGCAAACAGGAAATCCTTGAACTTGTGAAGCCAGAGCTCAGCTCCTTTCCCCGGGTGACTTGGGGGAAAGTACACATTTTGCATTCAGACTTGCGCTGCCTATCATGGACCTAGACCTTGCCTGCAGGGAAGCTATAGAGCTTGCTGGGCCTTTTTAACGGACACCGTCTTTGTTTCTGCTGCGCGTGAGTCTTGAGGCAGGGATCATGTTAACTGCCTTCAGGTCCACAGAACCCAGCCAGCACGAAGCCTGCGCGCCCACGGAGAGCCAGGCGGGTGTCTTGTGGAGGGCAGAGGATGCGGAGCAGGGCCTCCGTAGTGGGTGTCAAGGGTGCTCAGACAGGCGGTCCTGGTCGCCTGCTCCTGCCATGTGGTCGGATGGCTTCGGGGCAGCCTGCACTCACCCTGCCCTTTCCGCTCTTGTCCCCCAGGGTGTTTGGCTTCCCTGTCCACTATACCGACGTCTCCAACATGAGCCGCCTGGCGAGGCAGAGACTGCTGGGCCGGTCCTGGAGCGTGCCAGTCATCCGCCACCTCTTTGCTCCACTGAAGGAATATTTTGCTTGTGTGTAAGGGACATAGGGGCAAACTGAGGTAGTGACACAAAGTTAAACAAACAAACAAAAAAACACAAAATACAATAAAACACCAAGAACATGAGGATGGAGAGAAGTATCAGCACCCAGAAGAGAAAAAGGAATTTAAAACAAAAACCACAGAGGTGGAAATACCGGAGGGCTTTGCCTTGCAAAAAGGGTCGGACATCATCTCCTGATTTTTCAATGTTAATCTTCAGTCCTATTTAAAAAGCAAAACCAAGCCCCCTCCCTGCTCTCCCCCCCTTTTTGGGTCAAACCTTTTGTTTTCTAGTCTTTCAGAGGGGTTTTCTGTTTGTTTGGGTTTTTGTTTCTTGCTGTGACAAGAGCGTTATTGCAACAAAAATGAGTAACCAGTGGTAATGATGCCTAGCAGAGGGAAGGCCAGAGAGATGAGCAAAGGAAATTTTAGAAATCTATATATTGGGTATTTTTCTTTTTACTATATATCTTTTTGTTGTTGTTGTCTCTAGCCTGATCAGATAGGAGCACAAGCAGGGGCAGAAAATCAGACGCTCGGCGGCCGAGCTCCCTCCCCGCCTCCGAGCGTCCTACCAGCACCATTCCTGGTCATGCAAACAGAACCCAGCTAGCAGCAGGGAGATGAGATCACCACACAAGATACTTTTCTACAGTATTTCAGGTGCCTACCACACAGGAAACCTTGAAGAAAACCAGTTTCTAGAAGCCGCTGTTACCTCTTGTTTACAGTTTATATATATATGATAGATATGAGATATATATATAAAAGGTACTGTTAACTACTGTACAACCTGACTTCATAATGGTGCTTTAAAACAGCGAGATGAGTAAAAACATCAGCTTCCATCTGGCCTTATGTGCGAAGGGTTTTAACCAAGGATGGGGAAAGGGATTCGGCTTGAAGACACGGTGTGCTGTCAGGCGGGGTTCCCCCTTGGTTTTTAATAAGCTGAAGGAGGGGAATCGAGTTGTGTTCCCCCCGCTTCTCTCCCTGCCAAAAAAGGGGATGGGCTGAGGTGGTCAGGACCTGGGAAGCTGAGCATCTGTGCTCATGCGGTAACCTTTGAGATCTTTCAGAAAGGAGACTCCCTTGGCGAGATGGCAGGGGAAGAAGTCTTCGTTTCCGATTTCTGGTGTTAGCAGAGTTGAGGGCTCCTTGTGGTGGGATCAGAAGTAATCCAGAGTGTGGGACAGTGACAGTTACAAACCCCACCTGGAGCAAATAAAAAAACATACAAAACGTACTGGTGCTTTCCTGTCTAAGTCGCCTTTTGTGTGTTCTTTTATGAGGCCCCTCAGTCCTCCCCTCTGCGCACAAGGCGGCTCTGGGCCCCTGGAATGTGATGTTTTTGGTCATCTCCAAAGGCTGCAGTTTTATACTGGGAGGCTGATGACACCTTTTATTATAATTATTCTTATGGTTCTGGTTATAATTGTTTGTTTTAAGATTTTCTTTAAGAAAACAAAAGCCCAACACCCTTCCCTTTAGGTTTCAAACCAAGGTGCGGGGAGCAGGGTGCTTCTAAGGCAGTAGTGGCTCTGGTGCCCTGGTTCCTACCCCTCGGGCCAGGTGGGCCACTGGGTGGCACAGAGACAAGCTGGGTGGCCAGGGAGTCCCCAAGGCCCGCCCTCCGGCTGGTCACTCTTCTCTTCTACTTCCCTTCCTCGTGATCAGGTGTGTCAGGGCCGGAGAGAGGCTTGGGCAGCCTCTCTCCTTGTGTGTGTGGTTGGAGTGGTGTGTGTTTATTTTCTAGTGTTTGGTCTGATGATAGCTGTGCTCTTACCTCGAGTCGGCAGCACCTGGGGCCCCACGTGCTCGCACTTTGTTCTGCTTCCCACCGGGGCTGCAGCCCAACAGCCCGGCGTTAGCGGTGGGGAGAGATGGCGCTGTCGCTCTGGGGTGAGAGCCCGACAGGCGGAGCTTGCTGGATGGATGGGGTGTAGATATGTGGCATATAGAGATATATATTTTATAATGGGAGGGGGGGCGGCACCTCCTGGGACCGGCAGCTCTGGGAGGTGTGCCGTCCAGCACATGGTCCCAAGTCCGCATCCCTAGCCAGATGGGCCTACAGTGATAGGCGCTCTATAACTTCATAGATAGGTTACGTAGAAGAAACCTTACACAGTGGGGTGGCGAGGACCAAGCTCAGCCCTGAGCCCGCGTCCCCGCCGCAGACAGCCCCACACTGGTCAGTCCTCACACACACAGGATCCCGCTTCTGTTCGGATACATAGCAAGTGCACTCACACACACCAGAGAGCCCCAGGCTCTTCTCCCCAGGATTCAGGACTTTGTGGAGTCAGCCGCGCAGCTCTTACCTCTGTCGCCCTGATTGCAGGCAGACTGTCGATCTCCGAAGTTGCTAGGTGCTGAAGGCAGGAACAGGAGGAGGTTTGATGGAGCAGGTGCTTCCTCTAGCAGGTCGTGTTCTAATCCCCTTTGCCCCTGGTGATGTCAAAGTTTCTTCTGTTAGCAACCTGTGATACTGACCTGCGACTCCAGGCACCGGTAAAGTCAGCCCTCCACTCCCCCTACCTATTCACCCAACCAAAATCGAATTGACATCTCTGTCTGTCTGGGCTGTGGGGCTTCCATTGGGAAACAAAACAAAACAAAACAAAAAGCCAAATGGGACTAAGGCTCGCCTTTTGAATAAAGCAAATCAGTAATTAGTAACCAAACTGAACCGGAGGCTTTGAACCTCTTGCTCATGGCCGAAAATAAGCGCACAGCTGGTGGCTTGTCCTGTCTTGTTCCTCTGTAGGGCATGTAGGCTGGCCTGCTCTGCTGGCTTCCTCCACAGGCAGAGCTGACACTAACACCCACTGGCTGCCTGCTGCTTTTCTGCTGTGGCAACTGGTGACCAGTCCCCCTGGGACTGGAGCTGCTAGGAAAGGGGAGGCCTGTCCCCTCTTTAGAGTCTCTGTGCTAAATGTGCTGGCCAGTCACCTCTTTGCCCCAGCAGGGCTTTGTTCAGGCCTGGAGTCCACCAGCACCACTCCAGGAGGGCTGTGGGGAGGACGGCTGCTTCTGGCAGTCCAAGGTGCTCCCTCCCCCATTGGCCAGCGCCAAGGTCTTCCCGGCACCCGGTGACAGGACTGTCTGGGCCTTCCTCTTCCAGAGCTCTGGCTCTCCTGAGCCTCTGTCCCCCACTTATCTGAAGGAATTAGCTTTCCCCAATGGCCCTAGCACCACCTTAGCTAGGCCTGGTGCTCCCCCTGGGGGTTGGTGTGGGGACTCGGGAAGGGATTCGGTAGTCAAGGATGTGACAAACCCAGCATGGGCTGGCCAGCTTGCTTCAAGCGTGGGTGCTGGACACAGAGGCTGTGTCGTGACCAAACACCTAGCACCTGTTCCTCTCACCCTGGTGACTCCAGGATGGATCCCACGCAGGCGCAGGAGTTAATCACCAGCTTTCTTCCAGCCCAGCCCTGTGGGCTTGATCTCAGACGTGGTCAGATGGGGAGGACTCGGGCTGTGCCGTCTTGGCCAGGCTGCATTGCTTTTCTGTCCACCTCCACCCCTGTGGGAGGACTTCTTGTGACAGGTTCTGGGTCCTTTTCAAAAGGAAGCTGTGCTTGATTAGCTGAGGTAAGATCATGGCAGCCATAGGCAGGCTCACTAGGCTTGCCATGGATGAGGCCAGGGATAGAGGCTGTGGAATGGGACAAACCAGGAGAGTCTGGGGAGAGCCCAGAGAGTACCCTGTGGGGTTGCTTTTCCAAAGAGTAGGTCTGTTTTCCCCTGGGACGTGGTCGTGGGGACCAAGGGTGACATCTCCCTCCTGCAGGTGCCAAGTGGAACGTGGTGCCAAAGACCCGTGGCCCTTGCCTGAGGAAGGTAGCTGGTGCTAGAGCCAGGGTCTTGGAGCCTTGGCCTCCTACTGGAGGAGGTATTTGCTGGATCCCAGCAGGGCATCAAGCTGGCTGGTGCTAATCCCTTCCCCATGGGACAGACTGGCAAACTGAGCTGGCGGCCTGCAGGTGAGGAGCAGGGGTCTGGCATCCACTGACTTTCTTTATTGACCCCAGAGTCTCCCAGCTATTGGACATCCTATCAGAAAGCAGAATTCTCCAAAAAGCATTGTAGGACCTCTTAGCTTTCCAGCAGGCCTGGGCGTGGTTGGCGGGCAGAGGCCCGTGTGGTTTTTGCAAATGGCTGGGGTGAGGAGTGGACAGGCAGACCCTGTGTCGAGAAGGAAGGCTGGCTGGCCTTTGGGCCTGGCTGTGCTCCGGTCACCCTCCATCTCCAGCACCCAGGAATCTAGAACAGGAGCGAGCCAGGGGTTGAGCTGAGCCATCTGAGAGATGCTCTTCCAGGAAAAACAGTCATCAGTTTTCTGGTTTTGATTGTAAGGGTGAATATGTAGAGTAACTCTCGACTTGGGTTGCTATTCTGCATGCTGCTGTGGTGCTAGTGTCTGTCAGAGGAGTCCTTTCCTGGGAGGCTGCTCGCTGCGGTGTGCACCAGGAAGTGTACTTGGTTTAGTCAGGGCAGAAAAGCCACCCTGTTGGTGAGAGCTGAGTTTCCAGGCAGGTCCACAAGTTTGGTCTTGGGAGATGAGGGAGCTGAGTTTGTCATCAGACCCTGTTCTAGTCTGCCTGTGACTGGTGGTGACATCCAGTTGTCCCTTTGGCAGGAAGCAGCTGAAGCCTGCCTCCCACCCCTGGGCTGGAGATGGTATGACAAACAGATGGCTTGAAGGCACAGTGGCCCTCCAGGCCAGGCCTTGTGCTGGGGTCCGGGAGACCTGACAAAGACCGAGCTCCATGGTTGCAGGTGTGCTTCGGTATCTTTGCATTTTGGTAAAGGAAAGCAGGGTCTTTAGAAGTGCAGACCTCCTACCTACAGGTTGCATCTGAGGCCCAGCTTAAGGTGGCCCTTTGGCTGGGGACCTGTCTGACCCCAGGCAGTAGAGCATAGAGGCAGGAGAAACAAGCAGGTGAACGCAAGGAGGAGAAAGGTGAGAGGTCCTTTGCTCTCGTTGACTTACTCACTTCCGGAAAGGCCCCCCAAAAACTCTGGTAACTGGAAAACTCCTGGGACTCACTCCTCCATGCCCTAGTCTGGCAGCCTCCAGCCTGCGCCTGAGGCCATGAGCAGCGAGCAGTCCAAAGCGTCCCACGGTCCCATTTCACTTACAGACCGATTTGGTTGCACAGCCCTAGATTTCAACAGACAACAAAAATGCCGAAATTCCTTAGAATATGCAGAGGGAGGAGGTGACTCAACAAGGTGCTAAAACATTTTATTAAAAATATATATTGTTAAATTAAGTCTGCTGTCTGGACAATGACTGTTTGTTTTGTTTTCTTGTAGTGGAGTTTAAAAGAGACTATTATTTTACTCTGATATATTATTATTAAAAAGGCATTTTAACTTTGTACTTGAAAACTAAGTGAGCGATTTCACGTGTTTTAGCTGAGGCATTGAAGTAGCGGGTGCTTACTTACTTGTGGGAAATCATGTATTCATACTGAAGAATAAACTCCGTAGCTGACTCGGTAATAACTTTTACTGTTACAGACGATCGCGCTTTGACCCCGGTGGCAGAGCTCTCACTCCACATTCCACGCAGCTAACGCAGGACCTCCCGGACCCCGCCCCAGCCTCCTCCTCCTCTTCCGTTCCTCTTCCTTTTTCTTTTCTTCTTTTTTGTTCTTTTTTTCCTGGTTCCGGCATCCTTTCACCACTGTATTTTTTTTTTGTTTGTTTTTTTGTTTTGTTTTTTTTTTTAGGGTTGCTTCTCTATTTATTGACAATAATAATGTACATTTCACAGTCTGGTTTCGCGGGATGCTGGGCGCTGCGCGGGGCTCCTCGAGGCCCTGCGGCGGCCGCCTGATGTTCTGTTGTATCTCTGTGTACGTGATGCTCGTGACATAGCTGTTTATGAAATAATTAAAGAGGTCAATGCATACAGCAGATGTAGAAAGTCTGTCAGTTCCGCCTTCATCACTTTTTTTTTTGTGCCCAGAAGAATATAATAAAGCTCCTTTCTAATGTACTTGTGCTGGAGAACACTTGAATAAATGGACTGTTTTTGTGCAAAAAGAAAAAAACAGAAAAAGCACCATAATAATGTCCTTTTGTCTCGCGTCTCATTTGCTCCGGAAGGCGGAAGGCTTAAGCACCTCGCCGGGCGGCACGGGCGGGGCTCCCTGCAGCTTGCAGCCCAGCTAAGTCACGGTGAGTCAGGGTTGCTGGGAAAATAAACGCGGCCCTGGATGCAGCCGTGCC